CTGCCGAGCCTATAAGGATGCTGCAGGTTTTTCCTCCCAAGATGGAGAACCTTGCATTTTTCAGTGTTAAACACCATCATGTTCTCGTCCGCCCGTTTGCTGAGCCTGTCAAGGTCAGCCTGGATCGCCCTCCTGGCTTCAGCTGTGGATGCTTTGCCCCAGAGTTTGGTGTCATCAGTGAACTTGGCCAGTCCACTTCTGACTCTAGTGTCCACATCATTAATGAAGATGTTGAACAATATGCGTCCAAGGATAGAGCCTTGAGGAACCCCACTGGTCACAGGGCACCATGACGATTGACTTCCATCAATTACTACCCTCTGGGTCTGACCACGGAGCCAATTTTCCAGCCAGCAGATCATGGTGGACCCAAGGCCACAACTGGCCAGTTTCGCTAAGAGGTGATCATGGGATACTAGATCGAAGGCTTTTTTGAAGTCAAGATATATGACATTAATCTCTTCTCCCTTGTCCAGGTGATAGGTCACCTGGTTATAAAAGGAAATGAGATTGGTCAAGCAAGACCTACCCACAACAAACCCGTGCTGGCTATCCTTCAGGATGTTGGCGTCAGCCAGTCCATTAAGCATGGCCACCTTCCCCGGGATAGAGGGATTTTACAATCCTCTGAGACCTCACCTGAGCACCGTGAGTGCTCAAACAGTCATGTCAGTGGCTCTGGTATGACTCTGGGTAATTCTTTCAGCACCACTGGATGGAACTCATCCAGTCCCATTAACTTAAACAGATCCAGTCCCTCCAAGTGTCTATTTACTAGGTTGGCACTGACAGTTGTTGGTCTGGTGTTCCTCTTGCTTCTGTCAGTAATGCATTTGGGAGTTTTGTCTAGATCTGAGTTCAAGAATACAGAGGTAAAAAAACTCATTGAAGAGCTCTTCTTTGTCCCTTCTATCTGTCACCAACTGCCCTTGTTTTTCCTGTAGGAGTCCTATGCTGCCCTGCGCCTTCTTTTTGCTCCCTGTATACCTGAAGAAGGACTTTTTGTTCTCCTTATTTTTTGTCACCAGCCGATGTTCTAATGTCCCCTTTGTCTCCGCCTTTCCCTCACTGGTCCAGGGTGGTCTGCCTCTGCTTCTTGGGGGATGGGGGCTTCAGGCTGAGGAGGAACAAGGGCAAGGGGGTGCTGCCTCCTGAGATGCAGTAGCATTGCCATGGTGGTGAAGTGTTTCACCTCCTTGCCCCAGCTGATCTGCTTTTGGCAGTGCTGGCAGGTAGCATACCTGGGATCACCTGCCAACTTAGAATGATCCCACACTATACTAGCCACCCACTTCTGGGTTGAGGGTGGGGGTCCTGCTTTATCCCCATCCTCACCAGGCACAGGCACAACAACAGGAGGAGCTCAGCCACCTGCCCCCACAACCTCCTCCAAAGTGCCTTCCAAAAGAGACCTACCTCTAGGGGAACTTTTATGGGTGTGGAGCACAAACTCAGATCCCTCTTTTTCCCTAGAATTTCCTTAGCTATGGCCCTCAGCTCCTCTGCTTCCAGAGCTAGCTCCTCCTCTGGCACTGGAAGGCTCATGCTGGGAACTGAAATTGGGGTGGAGACTGTCCTGCTGGTGCTGGTGGTTATTCCTGGTGTTAGTGGGGGTGGTGCAGGTGCAGACACTGCTCCCACCTCTTTGCTCTCTCTTCTCAGTTTCTGTTTCCTGCAAGCCTGCTTTCTGAATCTCCAAATCTTTCCAAATATTTTCCGAATCAATTTGGACCTTTTAATGGGTCTCCTGATTCAATTCAGATTCAGAGATTCGGCTGCCAAATCAGGCCAAACCTCCTCTGAATTGAATTGGCTACCGAAGCTTCGCATAGCTTCGCATAGATGTGCTAGGATGAAATAACTGATTCTGAGAGAGCTTTCTGGACCTGGTACCCCAATGAGTGCCAATAACATTGTGTACTATACTGGAGATTCCTTTAGTAATAGCAGTATTTTTTCACTAATATTTAAAATAAGGGATGCTATTAATTGACACTTCTGTAGAATGATGGGTGTTACTGTGATGATTTTCAAAGGCTTGCTATATCACAAATTATATGTTTTCTTCCTGAAGCAAACTAATAGAAGGGCCTCATAAAGGTTACTCTCATCATCATAGTTCCACAACCAGAAGCATCAGGCACACTCTTCGTATATCCAGAAAGTTACACTACAAAATGTCACAATATTAACTGCACTGTTTGGACTGTACATACAAACCCATAAAAATTGTGAACACAGACCTAAAGATAATATTTCAACATTTGGCCTCTAGTTACTCAAAAATTTGACCTACATTTCCAAAGACAAAGCAAATAAATATAGAATATGAAAATAAATATACCTCTGTAATGAGGAAATACAAGCGAAGCATAAAGGAAACAGGTAGCAAACTTTTACTGAACCTGGAAAGTAGACACGTGTTCTTTCATTTCTGATTTCATTATGCTCCATAAAAAGGACTCCTGTACGACTTAAGACATATATTTCCAGATTTGTACTGCCTCTCACCTTCGTTATACCTTCTCTCTCTTTTTTACTCCCACTTACAGCTACAAGCAAGCTTCCAGAACTTCCTAAAACAAAAACATCTCCCCCACTACGAAAACCTGCAGGAACACTGGGTAATGGCAACTTTTCTGTTTTCAGCTTTTCTGTCTTTACAGTATGTAAAGAGAATTGCAAGTGTTTCTTAAGTCTTTTTACCCCCCAATTTTTACTGACACCTATCAATATGCTGTCCCTCTTTTTTTTCATTTACAGTTACAAGCAAGGTTCCAGAACTTCCTAAAACCAAAACCTCTCCCCCACTTCTAAAGCCCACAGGAACATTGGGTAATGGTGACTTGTCTTGCTTGTTTATTTTGGGCTTATGCTACCTTTATTAAAAAAAGACACATGTTTCTTAACAAATCCTTTTTTTTTACTTCAAATTTCTATTGACTCACATCTCTATTGTGCTCTTTCTCTTCCTCTCCTTTTTTTTTCAATTAGTTACAAGCAAGCTTCCAGAATTTCCTAAAACTAAAACATCGCCTCCACTTCTCAAGCCCACAGGATCATTGGGTAATGGTGATTTTTTTTCTTGTTTTCCGCTTGTTTTGTTTGCAACACTGTATAATAGAATGCTTTTTGCCCAGATTTCTATTGCCTTCCCTCAACGTTGTACTTTCCCTCTTCTTTTTCCCTTACAGCTACAAGCAAGCTTCCAGAAGTCCCTAAAATTAAAACGTCTCCCCCAATTCAAAAGCCCACAAAATCATTGGGTAATGGTGATTTTTCTTGTTTTGACTCTGCTGCACTATATAAAGAGAACTGCAAGTGCTTTGCGTATTTTTTCTCCAGATTTCCACTGGTTCATGTCAGTAGCGTTCTTTCTTTTTTCTCCCTTTTTACTTACAGTTACAAGCAAACTTCCAGAGTTTCTTGTCATTAAAACATCTCTCCCACTTCAAAAGCCCACAGAATCACTGGGTAATAGTAACTTTTCTTGTTTTCAGTTCATCTGTTTATCTTACACTCTTTATCAAGAAAACTGCTGGTGTTTCTTAACAAATCCTCCCCCCCCATTTTTGCTGACTCGCACCAAAGCTGCATTTTCTCTCTCTGTCTCTCTTTCTTCCCCCCCTCCCCCTTTATTACAAGCAAACTTCCAGCATTTCTTAAAACCAAAACATCTCCCCCACTTCTCAAGCACACACAATCACTGGATAATGGTGATTTTTTCCCCCTGTTTTCAATTTATTTTGCCTGCTGTCTTCTTCAGAAAACTGTTTTTTTCTGTATGAAAAATCTTTCCTTTTCCCCCCAGATTTCTTCTGCCTTCCATCAGTGTTGTTTGTCCTTTCTCTCTTTCTGTTTTCCTTTACAGTGACAAGTAAGCTTGCAAAATTTTGTAAAACCAAAACCCCCTCCCCAGTTCTAAAGCCCCAGGGAATATTGGGTAGTAAACATACCAGGGCAGCCATGCACCTTGAGCCCTGGTGGCACATAGAGCAGTGGCAGCTGTTATTTTTGCACCCCTCCCCCTAAGTCAGCACCCAGGACTGCTGCCCAAGTTACACCCTCCCTTTGTTTCTTGTTTTGTCTCTGCTTCGCTATATAAAGAGAACTGCAAATGTTACTTAAGTCCATTTTTCTCCCCAGGTTTCTACTGACTCCCATCAATATACTTCCCCTCTCCTTTTTCACTTACAGTTACAAGCAAGCTTCAAGAACTACCCAAAACCAAAACCTTTCCCCCACTTCTAAAGCCCACAGCAACATCGGGTAATGGTGACTTGTGTTGTTTATACCTTACTTCACTCCTTCATTTCCTTCACAATGCCTTAAGCTATGCTAAATGTACTGCTTTGTTGCACTGCTATAGAGGGTGATAATATGAGATTTATGGTTATTCTTGTTTAACTACAAAGCAGATGGACTTTCATTGTTGGTTAGATGTTTATTAACATCTTCCTTGGCCTAGTGGTTCTGCATATGCACAATTGATGCTATTCAAGCTCCAAATACCTTTCTGTCCTTCAACAGTGTTTCTTCTTTGGATTATTTGTGCAATATGTACCATAGAGGTTGGCTTGCTTTTATGTTGTTGTTTCAGGCACTTATTTTCTTTGAGCTTAGTGTCTTTTCAGTGACTCTTTGTAATTAAAGACCTGGTTATTCCTTTTATCATAGCTTCTAAAGAAATGCAGCCGATTTGTTCTGGATCTAAATCTTCAGATCTTCCAAAAATGCCACAGACAAAACCTGGTAATTATTTGTTTCTAAATTTGAGCTTCAGGGAAAACATCATTAAAATTATTTGTTGGTACTGTAGCCAGGTGGGTTTTGTGATTCACCATCTCAAATAAAATAGTGTGGTTCTTTGATGTATAATGTAGCAGCTATCAGATTTTTCTACATCTGAAAAAGTCAGAGTTTCTATATTTACTAAGAAATCTTGTTTTGAGATTAGTGAAATGTTTTTCTTATGACAATGGAAAAAAATATGATGATAAAGGGGTTAATCTTCAGTTGATACAAATTGTCAATTATTTGCTCTATGAGCTTTGTATTTTCCTTGTAAATGTTGCATTATTTTTAGAGGATGTCTGTATCTCTCATCTGAAGCATTGTTCCATCCAGCCCTGAAGTGATATACTGCAGAGTAACTATTAAATAGTTAATTCACTTTTATTTTTTTACTGATTTTAGTGTCTTATTGCTTAGGTGTTTGTATGGCCTATGTTTTCAAAAGTGAATATTAATTTCTGGTGTCTCAATTACTGGGGGCTCATCTTAGGACATCTTAAAGGCATGAGCATAAGCTACTCCTCTTCTGTGAAGCAGGCCCTTGTAATATCTCTCTGGTTGAGCAAATAGAATCACGATTCACTTTTTCTTAAATTGAGGCCATAGCATCTGTTCATGCTTGAAACCCTGACAGCCTTCCAGACAGACTTTTGTGCAGTTTTTCGTCCTCTCAGATTATTTCTGTGGTTCCCATTGAATTCAATGGGAACTGGGCATTGTCCATTCTAAGGCAACATGTAGTCAGGCACTTAGCTTCCCTTTAGTATTTTAAGAGAAAAATATACCAACTAGGGTAACAATATTTGATAGACTGTATGTATTTGACTTTTCCTTGCTGTGCTTTAATCTTTTATTTTGAATTAGTATCAGAATAGATTCATTTTCATATTTAAAGGTTATTACATTTATGGGGGTCAGACGAACCCATTGCAAAGGTTTTTCTCTTTGGATGGGAGAAATGGCTTGTAGCTGTGCCTAGTAGACTGTGATCTTGGTGGTTAATTACTAACTGCATAAATAGGGTCAGGCTTGGTTAATACTTGGCTGGGGTGAGTACTGATTCAGTTTATTCTTGCAGTAAACTTTACTGAAGCCAAAATATATTAAGGGCATGTGTTTTCAATTAATTGCCAAATACTGAAATCCTTACTCAGGAAAATATCCCGCCAACCTTGGTGCAAGTTTGGCCAAGCGTGAACTGAGTAAGATTTTTTTTTCAATTTGTTCCTGATTTATTATAATTTCTTACAGTTCTTCTCTGTGCAGTATTTGCATGAGAAGAGCAGGTCTCTCATTAATGGCATGGAGATAACTCTCTATTGCTATTGTACTGAAAGAGATCCCATTACATATAGTTAGATTCAGTGCTAGAGAGAAGGATGTTCAGTAATTTGTTAAGAACACAGCTTGTTGAAATGTAGCTACTGATTTCAAATTTGCGAGAGATGGGAACACCACTCCATTCTGCTGTGTAGTAGTAAGCTCACCTCACACTTGTTTTTCAGTAGCTCTAAACCTTGCCATTGGTGTTTAGAGAGAGTTAGCTGTGTTAGTCTGCAGTCAGGCAGAAGGCAAGGTGGGATGTACCTTAGGGACTAATTTGTTCAGAAAGGCATACAGTTTAGCAGGTGACAGCCTACTTTATCAGATACTAGACACTGGTATCTAGAGAAACACATGTTAGCTGGTTTGGGCCTAGTTGGTGGGAGGCAATTCCCAAACAGGCAGACTCTCAGAGAAGTCCGTGCTCTTGCAGTTGACTTCAGTGAGCTCCATTAGGGCTTTGCAGGTCTGGGCCTTTGAGTACTTTTGTTGTAATGCTCCAGTGTTCCTTCCTCCCAGATTTGAAAGCCAAAGTTCTTTACCCAGAATTTTTAAAACTGGAGCATAATTTCTGTGAATCTTCTTTTAAAAGCACTGTGGGCACTGACAGACGTGTAGCTTCCTGGTCTAACTTATGGCTCAAAAGACATGCATTGAGGGTGGGGGATTGAGCTCTGCTTCGGAGCCAATTCAGCCGAGGAGTTGCATGTCTGCAGCTTCTCTCCTTTAGTTCCCCCTTCCTCCCCTCCTGCCAGCGGGGAGGGAGCTCAAGCTGTGGTTTTCCCAGACTGTGCTGGAGTGGGAGTGGGTGGACTGGAGGCTCCGAAGTGAAGCACCTTCATTAACTTTTGTCTGCTTGGGCAGCTGGGCTGATGCAGCCCAGCCCTCCCCCCAGCACTGTCTGTACAATGGGAGCAGGGAAGAAAGCAGGGGAGAGAGGTTGAGGTTTACGCAGCCTGTGCATGAGGGGAGCCCCCCTACCTTAGGGGGGCTCCCATCCACCCCCCCTCCCTTGCACAGGGCACAGATGTAGAGTGCTTGCAAGGGGCTGATTGCGCAGCAAATGTAACTTCTGTTTGCACCGTGTATTTTCTCACACATCCCCAAATAAGAGCCATACCTTTGTTTTTGGAAGGCAGAATGTAGGAGAAAGTATTTCAAGTCACAGCCAACGGTGTGACAGAGTAGGTCCTCCTGGAAATACAGTGTCCAGGAATGTGGCATCCCAGGATACAGTCTAGGTGAGGCAGCAGGAACTTCCCGATGTGACAGGACAGTAAGAAGATTAGATCTCAGTTCCTTAGAAAGCCAGTAGCTAGACTGTTACTTCTTTACTGTGAATAGTTCTTTACATAAATTATATTCCTATAAGTGACAAATTTAGAAAATAATAAAACTTTCTAAATTTCTGTGCCACAAAGCCTCATTACGGTACTACAGACTGCATCTTCACTTGCCCTGAGCAAGCTTAGTTGCTGCTTCTGACACAAGCTACCGTGCTTGGCTAGTAGCTACTGTAGACACCTTAGTAAATATATGAATGTTAAGATTGGATGCTACCCCTTTCTGCTTCCTGTGCCAGAAAGAAGTGGAAGCCATCCTGGCGGCCATTAGACCATAGTGTCTACTTGCTTCTATTCCTCCATGGTTCTGTTGCACTGAAGAAAAAATGAGCTTCCACACTTAAAACATGCACCCCAATTTTGGAGGGCTGAATTTAGGGGGAAATATGTGTGTGGTATGCAAGTAAATGCAGTATGCAATTCATGTCCTCATCCTTCCTCTATTAAATTAAATGGAAAAAAATCTCACATACAATAACTGCAGTATCACATTGCTTTTCTGGATGATATCTGACCTATTTTCCTAGTCAGAATCTTCCAATATAATTTTTTAATATTACTTTTTTTAAAAGTTAAGTCTTAATAAGTAAGCTTTATACAGTTTATCCCTGAAAAGTACTACATTCCTCATAAGATCAGCAGAGAGTAACATTTAGTTATATCTTCAGATGTGTAAACCATGTTCTGCCCTATGTTCTCGAGAATGTTTTTCTTATTTATTTTTGTACCTGGATTATACCAGGGGGAGACATCTCTTTTAATTTAGAAGCTTGATGGGTGGCCATCAGGCTTTGAATTCAAACCTTTTTTTAAAAAGGCATCTTTGTTACATGGCTACAGTGTGTTGGGACACCCCTGGAAGATGTCTTGTGGCTCTTACTGTACATGAATGAAATTAATAAGAGTCCTGCTGCCAAAAGCTGTGAATCATGTGCCTTCTGTTTGTATAGTGCTCATGATCACTATTTCCTTCTTCTCTGGAATCAGGATATTAGCCTGAGATCACATCTGTTGATATGATGAGTCATACAAAATCTAATTACAAGTAGTTGTGGGAGCTGATACCTGCCATATGAAACAGAAAATTGTTTGCTTATTGGTTCAAATTTTCACTTATATTCATGCCATTTTCATTAAAAATTAGTCCGAACCCTAAATATTTGGAATATTTTCCCTAAATCCATGGGAATTTTGAAGTAAGGCTCTGGGATGGCCTTACCTTAAAACCTCCTATCTCAGTTATGTAGTGTAAAGCATAGATTGTTTAAAAAAAAAAAAATAGTATAAATAAATATCTATGGCTGTTGCAAGCATAATTATTGGGCGGTACGGTATTTATTGATACACATGAGTATTTTATTGCTAAGAGGATCTTTTTGTTATTATCAAAATAATATGTACTTGCAATCAGCAATGCACAATATCTGCTTCACATTTACTCCTATTGAGACAAAGAATTTACCCTCAAATTAAAGATACATAATCTTAAATTATTTAGGGGTTATTTAGTCAGGAAAAGAGATGACTGAGAGGGGATTCCATAATAATCTTCACATGTGTGAAAGGTGGTTTCAGGAGGATAGTGTTAGACCATTATCTAGATGTAGACAGAAATACGCTGTGAGTTAGACCAACCAACCACTTCACAGAAAGCTCTATGAGTTAGATCAACCCTCTGACCCAACACACATTAGCTGTTGGCTCAGGAGGGTGGGGCATCGAGCTTCTATTTGGAGCCGATACAGTGAGAGAGTCTGTGGGTTTACAGACTCTTCCCCTAGCACCAGCCTATCTCTTCCAGCTCCAGTGTTGTCTTATTATGGAAGTGGGAGAAGGCAGGGGGCAGCGGTCCATTCTGGAGTTCACCCTGCCGTGGTGGAATAGGAGGGAGGTAGATTGGAGTCCCTCATTTTGGGGGGGTGGGGGTTGAAGCTACAGTCCACTTGCCTTACAGCATGGCTGGGCAAACCCCAGAATGGACCTTCCTCCCATGCCTTCCCCCCCTTCCATACTGAGACAGTAGCAGGGACGTGGCTGAGCTGCTTCAGCCCAGCCACCAGAGTAGACAGAAGTTATTGAAGGTGCTCTGCTGTGGTGCACCTTCATTTGAACACTTATAATGAGGGTTAATTTTTCTTGCAATTAGAGATCTCTGCAGCTGTGCTCTTCTGTTTGGGTACTTTCAAGGGGTCAAGCACCTGACAAATATAATTTCTGTCTGGATGTTCTGTGGCTGTGGAGAACAGGGCAAGTCTTAACAGTCTTAAGTTGCAGCAAGAGAAACTGAGGTTGGATAATATGAAGAATTTTCTCACTATGCGGTGAGAAAGTTCCAAGTGTTCCATTAAAAGTGTTCCAAGGCTTGATTTTATTGCATTTGGGACTGCTGCAATATGAATGATATGTTCCTTGGCTAAGTGCAGATAGTCAAAAAGCCTGGGGCTGAATCAATTCAATCTTTGCAGGTTAGTCTAAACAGCATAGATTGAACCAATCAACAAGTGAACAGATATTCACTTTTAATTCCAGAAATGCAGCCACATGCTTGCAGTGGCTGCTGAAGCCTGGGGGTACTAGAACATGCCTCACTGCTCAGCTGAATCAGACAGATTGGGCCAAAGCTACTCTGCCCTGCCCACCCTGCAAGGACGGGTTTGCAGGAGAAGTGCAAGCATTCTGGGATGCTAGGGAGCTGTGAGATAACTTGAATCTGGAGGAGATTTTGGACAGAACTTCAAGAAACCAATTTAACTTAAATCAGTTAAGTCTGACACTACATTCACCCAGGTTTACCTTTAACCGGTTTGAAAGTGGCTTATGTGCATTGAACTCCTGTTGTGTTACAGATTTGAACCAGTTCCTGATCACTTTTACTGGTTTATTTCTAATTTAGGTGCCTAACTCTTAAGTGTGTCAGGCCCAGACTACTTGAACAGCCAGCTGATGGATTGGATGCAGTTTTTTCACAAAAAGAAAAATTACTTAAAAAAAATTAAAATAGCTTCATTATCAATATGAACATATTTGCTCTGTTTAAAACAGTGACTTGTGCCAAAGCTGCCTACATCAGTGTCTCAAGATAATGTCCATCTTTGCTCTTAGCTATCCTGAGACCAACTTCGCAATCCACATCTCTCCCTCCCATGGAAACCCCAAGGACATCAATGGGTAAATCTCATGCAGTTCCATTTTTTTCATTCTCTTGGCCTATCTTTGTTCTGTAAAGGAGAATGCTTGGAGTCACTCAAACACCTTGTCTTCCATTCTTGTGTGCCAGGCTTTTTGTTTGATCTCATTTCAACCACTACTGCATAATCAACAGTGAAAAGCACTTTCTCTAGTGACACAGTGACACTCTGTCTTGAATCACCGTGAGCTTATTTGTTTTTTACATCTCAGCAATTCTTATTCCAAAGAATTTCAATAAAATACAATTCTAAGATAATAAGAATTCCATTCAGCATGGGCTGTTGGAATCCCATTGCCTGTGCTTTGTTCTGCACACCAGCCTCATTCTTCATGTTTCACAGTCATCTCACAGCTGACTTCCATGTCATCAGTCATCTTGCTTCACCCCTGTGCCAGCATCATCTTGAATTTGCAATTTCTGTCTGCTTGGTGCTGTTATCCTGCTGACTCTGAAGTCCCTCAGCATTTTAAACCCCAATTGTCTTTTCAGCTTTTGATGAAACACAGCTTGTTTCTTCAACAGCCAAAATGCTTGGCATCCCAGAATTGCCATCGACTGAATCTGGTAATGATATTTCTTGAAAAATTAATTCTTACAACAAGCATTTTCAAAAGAAACCTCACAGGGCGTGTCACCAAGTAGTCAGTTTAACTTGTCATAAACTCAGGATAAAAATAGCTGCTAAGATTGGTGTTCTGGATGAAATAGTATGTTTATTTAGAATGTTTTGTATGACATATTTAAAATAATGGATCACTCTGATGAAATTGTCCATTCTTTTTCAATGGCTTCTTAGGACATCCAGTTTGTAAGGTCAGTTACTTTAAATATGGTAGATATCGAGCAATTAATGCAAAATAATACGATATAATATTACGTACATTACAGTTTTTGTGCCTTCAGATGTCAGTGGGTGCTAGTTAATCATGTAAATCCAGTTAAGCAACTACTTTAAAATATCTCAGTTTGCAGGTATGCAGCATATCCATAGATCCTGTGAATACCAGTGAGAGCTGTGTTTGGTACCTTCTGAAAATTGGACCACCTTTTTAGATGGTCAGGACTTATTTGTGCTGTGAAAATGATCTGATATTAGAGATCCAATGTAAATGACAGTGCTGAATAAGGTGGAAGGGCCTGAGTTCTCTACTACTTTGCATCTTGTGTTACCCTTTTCATTTCTGCAAGATAAATGAAAAATGTGGTTCAAACATTACCAAGTTAGTTTGGTAATGAACTCACATATGCATCACACAAAGCAAGGCCACAAAGTGTGGAGTAGAGAAGCATTTGACCCAAAGTCTTTTTTTTTTAATAATTGACTGAAGGTGTTGTAACTGGACCAAATATTCTCAGTAATTCTATCAAGTTTATTGCTGCATTGTTCAAATGCAACTTTCATAAACTATATAGAAATACAAAATAACCAAGAAAAGGAAATGTTTGTGAGCTGTATAGTGTGATCTAACAGTCCTAAAGTGAATGTGATTTTCTTTCTTACAGTAACTGTTCAAACAACTCTCAGACCTGTTACACCTGGTGCTAGTAAAAAGGAGTTTGGTAAATAAGGGTGTTTTCTTGATACCTAATATAACATTTTTAGGTTTTTATATCATGAAATCCAGTTCTGCACTGCATATTTCTCCTATTCATGCTTTCAAAGCTTTTTCTTTCAGCTTTTGCTTCCTCTTTCCATATATGTTCTGAAACTCTTTAACTAGTTTTCTTATACAACATCCTGAATACACACACAGTGCAGCTGTACCTCTGCTTGTAGTTTTGACTGTTATCCTCTGTATGAGCAGAAAGTTCTGCTTCCTTTTACTGCTAAGCATTTAATTCAACTGAGGCCATTTGGGATTGTTGTCCTTAGACTATTCCAGGAAAAATACTGATTTTTCATGGAAAAGGATGAGTTTAGCAGCTGGTCATCTGTCTTGTCTCTGCAGGTTGATGGCATGCACTTTTGGATCTCAGAAAAGCATTTTGTTAAGATCTTGGACACTCTTGGGGGATTCCTGGGTAGGCTGTCAGGTTTCACGTGCGCTTTTAAAGCCAGTGAAGCAAAAGGCCATCTAGATGATAACACTGTACTGAAGCACTTCCTGAGCTGTTTTTCCACTGAACAAGGGGAATTTAGCTTTTCCTCTTTGTTAATATTACATAACTTAGTAGCAGTGGGAAAAAGTTGATTGTTGAGCTGGTCAATAACTTATCAGGCGTTATTATCAAATACTCATTGTTTAACCTCTCAACCTTCTCTTGACCACTTCAGGTCCATTGACCTTGTTCACCACTCCAGATTTATTTTTATTTTAACTCTATGAAACTACACCATTTTAAAACTAAAATAATGAAATGGCTAATTGGGGCTTTATATTAGTGTATAAACAGCATTTTGTATATTCAGCTTTAAATAGAAACAATCCTGTAACCTTCACCCCATAACACACATGCTTCTAATTAAACTTCGATATCTAACATTTGTGGTTTCATTTTAGTTTATTCAGTTGAACAAAAGTGAATAGAAACTCATAGTATATAGTTTTTAGAAGAGTCGTCATCCCCCACCCCCAATATGTTTTTGGCTGTGATATGGAAAAGCTTTTTTGTGGAAAAGTAATACTTGTTGAGTTTGGAATTAAATGGTTTAGAGAGACCATGTGTTATGTTATATATGTGTTCTCCATTAGGCGTTGATTGCAATTAGTTCAGCCCACCCAGGTGTAAAAGTCTCTGTATAAATGAAAAGTAGGAATGAATGTTGATCTTGTAGGATTTAAAACCATATGTTAAAAATGTAAGTGGTTGCACGATTTGTGGGCAGCTGGAACTGTGCTAAGTAACTTAACACAGTTCCAAGTACCCACAAATCTTGTAACCACTTACATTCATTCCTACTTTTCAGTGCCAGAGATGCTACTTGTAGGCGTACTCACCATTTTCTAAAGCATGTTAACTGATCCACATTACACAGTTTGAATCAAATTTCAATTCCAATTAAGGGTTGATGGATGATCATTGACCATCATGGAGGGAGCGCTGGCTATACACAATCTATAAACTTGACAGCCCCTTAACAGACCCAAGTCTCAATGTTTGTGTGTGAATTTATGCAAAATTAAGCAATAATACACCTAAGGACTGCTACATTGTTACAAACCTACCGATAGTTATCTAAAGTGCTGTTCCAGAAGTCCTAATGGGTGAAATTGACCTGATGTTGTTGGCACATTTGACTTTATGAAAGTGTTGCTATGTGCCTGATAGCCTCTACTGGGCGCATCTACATGACACGCTACATCACTGTAGCAATGTGCTATACCACCATAGCTCATTACTATGGCGACATAGTGTCAGCAGGCACAAACTGTGATGCCAGTGCTGTGTCACCATAGTGACAAGCTACCTCACTATATCACGTAGCTATGGCAAGTACTAAATGACAGTGCAGTAACAACTGTCCTGTGGGGGGCACATGTAGACATACCCACTGTGTTGCAAAAACCCAACTGAGTTTTCCTTGTGTGGATTGATATTTGCAATGCTTATCTGAGTTCCTAAGGACTGTTTGTCCTAAAAACAACATCATATATGCATCTTAATACAGTTCAAATTGCTGAATTTGGACTACCCTAGTCTGCATTAACTTTAATCCTCATTCAGTGAGGATTAGTTCACTCAGACTGGAGCCAATTTTAATTCGGACTACAGAGGCCCATGTGTATATAGTGGTAGCTGTAGTCCAGATTAAGGGGGGCGGCGGTGTTTAGGTGTTTCACTGATTTTTTTTAGCTGTCCTTCAACACATATTTTCCCCTGAAAGAGTCTTCAAATTTCAGAAGTATTCCAATTATGTCAGTGCTAACACCACCAGTTTGAAGCATGAACAATTTAGATATATGGTGTCTTTTTTTTTAACATATACTTAATTCAAGCTCCTGGTCAACTGTATAGAGAGAAATTCATTTTGTTAAATATTCAGTACCCTTCATTATTCAGTTGAGTTCTAAGAAAGCTCGCATGCAATTCTAGTCCAAGGAGCCCTCAAGCAAACATAGGGAAAGCATGAGTTGATATTCCTTACTTTTCTAAATTAAAAACCTGACCAGCTTTTTGTGGGGAAAAGACTTCTTTGAATATCAGAAAGGAAAGTAGCAAACCAGATTTACTTACTGTATTTTTCTTTGTAGGTCACATTTACTACACAGTCAAAGAATGTATTCACTTTTTGTTACCAGCTTATACTGAACAATATCCTTTCTATTACACCCATATGTGGATGTTAGAGAATGTACTCTATTTCAGAAGTCTTTATTTTACTCAGCTCTTGCGTACATGCCCATTAGGTACTCTATTGTAAGTCTGACGTCCCTAAATAATATATTTAATAGAACTTCAATACTGCACCAATGGAGGTACAGGTATTGGTTAGGTCATCCTCATATCTCTGTGAAGCCCTTACAATTCTAATTTCTTATGTGAAAGATTGAATAACCATTTATTTCTCCAGGGATCGCCTGATCAAATTAATTTTTGACAGATAAGATGTACTTGTAAATCCCCTGCATGTCAGTGCACATTCTAGGCAGATTACGTTCTAGGGTTAATATTTTTAGAAAGATTTCATTTCAAAATCAAATGTCCATAACTCCCAGATTGTGCTTGTAACACCACACAGCAAGTCTTTTTCAGCCTGTTACCTTGTCTTTAACATTTGCTTTCTGCTCTCATCTGCCTTGTCCTCCCTTTCTCTGTCAGTAATATCTGATGAGATTGTATTTGTGATTTCATCAGTTAGTGCCATCTCCATTGCATCTATGTGTTCATGCTTGTCCTGGCAAATAAACATTGGAGCATGGGAGGGACCAAAAGTACAGCACTGTATCTTGACACCTGGTACAGGTTGTGTGCAGAGCACCCACTACTACATAAGATTACTGTCATTTGACTTGGTACCTCCCATGTGAGGACACCCCATGCCAGGACATTTCTGGCCTTGCTACAGTACTGGTGAAGGGGAGGGTTCAGTTCATTCTTGTACGGACAGAATCTAAAACATACATTGCAATCTTCAGGTTCTTCAGTATTGGCTAGACTTTGTCTTGAGCTTCTGACTGAAGACAATTCTGTTCCATGTTGGTTCTCCCGGTTTTCAGTAATAAAAACCCAGTTCTTGTTTTTGTTTTCTCAGTTTCATATGACTTGCTGCATGTTTCCTCCATTCCCCAAACTCCAGAAATATCACAGACAGAATCTGGTAAATTATGCTTACATTACTTTAGAAGCCTGATATTTTGTGCGGAGTATGTTGTTACTGTTTCCATTTAACTGGTTCCTAAGTGCCACGTTATGCCTTTAAATTGTACAATCGTATTCTGGTGGTTCTGCTAGACACAATGCAGGCTCGAGGCACATGTTCCTGGTGGATGAGGGCTCTATTTGGTGTGATCCTTGCCAAAGAAAGGAGGCAAGAGAATCAGAAAAGGACTTACAATATGAGGAAAGGAAAGCTAGGTGAAGTTGGGGTGATGATCCTTTCTTTGGGGAAGAGGGCCAGATGTACAAATTTACCGAAGAAAAGATATTGGTTGGTATCCAGCAGTTTGTAGGAAGTGGCATACTTGTGGATGGGAACAAGTTCAGGCCAGTGCTGTATCAAAGCAGTCAGAGAAAAGCTCAGACTCTACGGGATTATCCAGATCTTTTGGCGACTTTGTGGGTTAACCTTAGGTCAGTGAAATTAAATGTGAAGCCACTCCTCCATCTAAGGCAGATAGATAGAAATACTATGTGGAAATACATAACCATAAAGTAAGCTCAACACAATGTACCATTAAAAAGATATCTTATTCCACAATGATAATTAACCTTGCCGTGACTGAGGTTCAGTGTTCCTAAATAGGACTAAGTAATGGGAGTACAGTAGGTAGATACTGTGGATATTATAGTTTCAAAAGACAATGCAAAACCAAGACATTTTCCAAAAGAAACAGAAATAAAAGACTCTTTTGATTCTCTTCAATTTACTTAATGAGTAAGATTCCAATTGAGATGCTATGTATTTCTTCTGCTTGGTAAAGACATTTAAAGACTTGTTGGCTGTCTTGTATATCTTGCTTTGTATCGTTCCTTAATCTCTCTGTATAAATATATATATATAGCAAAGACCTATTCTAGCTACTGTAGCTCCTTTCATCTGTGCTGAAACAATTTTTTGAAAAGTTGTTGAGATATGAGGTTGACTTTTTTTACTTTATTGGGTAGTTGGTTTTTTTGGACAAGCAGCAAGGGTTTGAAGGGACACAGTCTTACCATAAAATAATTAAGATGCTGTTTTTTATGAACTTCCTAGCAGTATTATTGGTGGACTGTCTGGGATCCCAAAGCAGCTTAAAAGTGTTCTTTAGCTAGATTAAAATGTAAAGCATACATCTTGCAAAGATTAATTTGCAACTTTATTCTGTGTGATACTTGCCCCTAGTACTGTAAACCAGGGACAGCAGCCCAGTATGAAAAGAAAAACCTACTTGTGGCTAGAAAAATACAAGCAATTAAGTAGATTTATGTAGTGCTAAAAAGGGATACTTGTTGCAGGAAGTCCTGTGTTTGTAATCAGTAGTCCAAAGGTTGTTATCCATTTATGCAAATGTGTACAGTATGCAGTCAGCTTGTTTTAGATGTAGTTGAAGGCAAATGCATAAACTGCTTTCTTGTGCAAAACCAGATGCATGCAACCTCATTGAACCCATAAATAATCTTGGCATGTACTAAGATTAAGGCCTTTTTATTTTTTCAAACCCATAGTAAATGAGTTTGTTTCCTAGTTATAAGAAGGCCCTCCTGTCTGTATAAAACACTTGTGGTATTGTTAGAAACTTGCAAAGCAATGCAATGCAGTCTCCTTCTCTCTCCCCACAAGCCCCTTCTTCTGTACTCAACAATATGAAGTTACATCTTAAGTTTATTTACATTTTCTTTTTCCTGTAGCTACAAATAGTGCTGAACTGGAAACATCTACGCCTCTAATTTCCAGAATACCTCATTTGTTAGGAACAACAATGGGTAATAATGAATAATGCAATTTTCTTGCTTAAATTAACTACCTTTTTGTCACAGCTTATTTCAGGAACTTTTCCTTGTTTTAATTTCCTACCAACACAAAAATTCTTATCAGTTGTCTCAACAGTTTTCATGGCTTTACTCACTACCTTCTTTATGGAAGCCAACATGCAGCCTGTGTTTTGCTACCAAGGTTATCACCTATGATGCTGCCTTGCTTGACATCTTCTTTTGTCTGTGTCCAGACCTTTCATTTTTTTTTTTATGTTTTTGTACCTGATTAAGCCTAATGCATGAAACCTACATTAGAATGGGTTATTTGTAAATAATTATTTGCCTAGTGAATTAAGCATCTTCTTCTGCTGGCAGAACAACCACAAATTAATTAAAATTGTTCCAAATTGCTCAACAAATTTGTTTGCCATTTTTTACTTTCATAGATTGATCCTATTTTGCTGTGAGTATTAATGATGCAAAGGAACCTTCATTCTATAATAGTATAGACTAGGGATGCTCAACCTCTGGCCTGAAGGCCAGATGCAGCCTGCAGAGCTATGGTGCTCAGAAGGCTCCTTGGGTACTCCATAGGTGTCCACAAGGCTCTGCAACGATTGGGAAATTTGGCGACAGGGGAACAGTGGAAATAAATACAGCCACTCTCCCTGCTTCCAAATTCCCAAACCCTGAGCCCCACACAACAGATTGGGGCCAGGACAAGCCCCCTCCCCCAAGACTGGATCGGGCTGGGCCATGCCCCCTCCCCTCCACAGGGCTGGGTTGGTGCTGGGCCATGCCCCTTTTCCCTGTGGGACTTGGCCATGACCCCTCCACCCCCACCCTGTGGGGCTGGGTTAGAGCTAAGATGCCCCTGGAGCTAAGACAGCCAGATAGGGCCCTGCCATGACTGCCCCATGCTGGATTAGGACCATCAGTCAGATCTGGCCTGCAGACGGCCTGGGCACTGCCCATCTGGCCTGCCAGCCAAAAAGGTTAAGCGCCATTGGTTTAGGTAAGTAATGTGGTACCATTTTTTATTCTAGTCAAGCAACTTGGGACACTCTCTTTCTATGCAAATTTCTCTTTTGTCTTTAAACCCAATCACAAAATGTTCACAGAAAGCAAAGTGCTGCAGGAGTTTTCAGTCCCAGAGAATATCTGTAGGCATATTATTTCGTTTCCAGCTTTAAAGATGTGTATCCTTGCCATTGTTCCTTGAATGTTTGATGCCTGTAGTATCCGAGCAGACTTTGAGTCACACACATTTACACTGCTGTATTTTCCACATGGCTTAATGTCTATGAATTCTGCTATTTGAGGTACAATTGGTCTTCCATGCACTGTGGCTGTTGTTTCTGTTTTGTCATTTTCAAGCACTAGCCCATTCCAATCTACTACTACTCCTTTCCCAGTCTAAACAATGCTCACTTCTTAAATTGGTCAGACTGCTCAGTTTAAATCTTGGTGCCTCAGAACAAAAATCTCTAGAATTTAAAAGTATCATAATAAACATTATTACCTCTTTCTTTTTTATAGTTTTCACTGATAAGCAGCCTGTTCTTTCAAGCCCCACAACATCTGATGAGCCTGAAATTTCAGATCCCAAACCAGGTACAATAATTATTACCCAGTCCTTCCCCTTCAGAGAATCAGGGCCTGATCCAGAAGCCTCTGAAATCAAAGGGAGTCTTCTGTTGATTTAAGAAGGCTTTGGAGCAGACCCTGAGAGCTGTATTTTTTTATCAGACTACAGGGCAGATTACTACCAGTGCTGTCTTACAGTTATGACATCTCTGGTAATATTTATCAGTCAGTTTTCCTTTGAGGATTTTGGGAAAAAAAAAGGAATGTACAACACTTTATAAAACGCTTCTTAAAACATACCATGTTCTTCTACAACAATAGTGATAGTCCAGATATTCTAGTAACACTATTGTAAACTAATACTGTAAAACTTCTAAATTGTTTAAATGCAGGGAAAACATATCCTGCACTACATGAAGACATTTCACAACTTGTAGGCACCTAATTCTCCAGAGCTGTGACAATAGTTGGATCAGTTACCAGCTTTCTTGTCCAAGTATCATGTGCTTTTAATGGCTGGCTAATCTGCAATACAACATGTCCTTTTTATTGCATTCCTGTGTATTACTCTGTGTCATCTTGCTAAGGGATGGAATATAACTCAAAATAATGAGGTAGGACATGAGAGAACCTAAAATCTGATGCCTGGCAGTGATTTTGATAGTGAGAATTTAATTCAGAATTATTGCAGTGGAGTCAGGAAGGAATTAAATGAACATCCCCAAATTTCTGCACATTTGGATAACATGATTTATAGTTCACATAACTGTGATTCAAAAATCTGAACTCATCCCTAATGCATATTAAGCTGAAAATGCCTGAGAATTGGTGAAATACTTCCATTTTTTTTCTATGGCAAATTTGTTTGACTTATGAAACACCATCATCTTTCATAACCTCTTTGTCATCTTATAACTGTCACCATTTCTTCCAACAGAAAAAAGTGAACTTCCTTTGGATTCTCCCACTGCTAAAGTCTCTAATCTTCTTAAATGGCCAAAGGCAACATTGGGTAATGTTGTTTTAAACAGTGAAAAATTCTGTATTTATATTTCATCAGCGAACATCTCATCCCTCACAAACTCATTTCTTCCCAAAGGTCATTTCATGCATCTAATCATTAACCTTCATCGTAATTCTAGATCCTTGTTTTTCTGTCACCAAATATTCTCAGGCTTCCTGATTCATTTCACTTCTCTGTTCCTACAGATACAATTTTTGCTAGTTTTACTGCCCTGTGAGGAGCTATAAAACTTGCATGGAGAGCTCCACCATTCTTGTATCATCTGTCTCATGTTTCTAACGTTCATTGTGGAAATTGTAGCCGTCTTTGGGATGACACCAAATCAATTTCTGATCAGTGTACAGCAATTCAATGCTATCTCCATCCCTGAGCTCCATTCCACCCTGAACTCTGATGTCATCAGATGGCTTTTACATTCTGTATTGAATCTCGTCTCCATCACACACCTGTGGCATGCACTGTTGTTGCGGAAAACTCTTTGTTAAACAAACCTTGAAGCAGTTTATTAAAAACCAAGCTCTTTCTTTCAGCTCCAAATGAAACATCACTTGTTCCTTCTAAACTGAAACCATCTGCTACTCCAGAAGTACAGCATGTGAAACCGGGTAATTAACTACTCTGTTTACTTAACAGAATGTATAAAAAAGGCACGTTTAAAAATTACTGAAAAATTACCCATAACATTCTCACAAGGGAAGCAGACAGTACAGACTTTTGAGCCAGGCCAATTATTGTTCCATTTAAGGATTCATCTAAGAATAGACTCAAGGTGATTGGATTGTTGAACATGAGTTTGGTTATAAAATGTCAAAAAACCAAAAAATAACCCAAACGCCTCATCTATATTACCCTAGTGGTTTTGGTGGCTATCTAAATAGTAGAGTAGAGTAATTTTCATTTCAGCTTTCCTATTTTAGATGTAGTTTCGTAATGTGCTGTACACAACACATTACCTGTCTTAAGACTGTGTTCATACCTAGTAAGTATTACTCATTTGTGGTCATTTCTGCTTCCAAAATGTCACGAAGAGTCAGCATCTCTTTAGTGCAAATAGCCATGATTGACAGAAGACATGTAGGAAAAAAGAAATATAGGAAATCCTGCAAGAGTCTTTGTGAATCCCTATACTGTTCCAGTCTGTTTAAAATCTTGTAATGGTAATGCTCCAGTCTTGTTGTACTAATAATTTTAACTGAATCCTGATAGTTTTCCCATACTGTTCAATTATTTTGGATTCCTTTTTGTTTTGTAGCCCCTAAACCACCACTTTTGGAGCATAGTACGCCTAAAACTTCTAGGATTACTGACTGGCCAAAAACAACACTAGGTAACAAATGTTTCAATAGCTATCTGTCACTCTGTTTCTGTTCCAACACCATTCGACCTCTGTTACTAAAAATGATTTCATACCATCCATCATAATCTTGCCTACCTTATTCTAATTCTAGACCTATTTCTCATCAACAGGAGAACATTTAGGAAACAGTTCTTGTTTATTCTAATAACAAAAACCATATTAGAGTTTGTTCTTGTTAGGCAATAAATACTGTAAGTGCAAACTGAACTTAGTTTCTCCTCCAAATTTGATCTGTCTACAGAATCATAGTTTTATCACTTTATATTAAGGATAAAACATCTGTACTTAAAATGTCAATAGGAGGCCTGGGTATCCATAGGTGGCATTTACCCTGATTGTTTGAAGATTGTTATGGTCCGAACTACAACAAAAAGCTAACAGCCCACTTACCCCTCAGCATGATTCAAAAATAACCTTTGAAAAGTCAAGTGCAAGGCCTGGTAAAGAAATTTCTCAAGCAAACGTTTAGGGGTTATTTTTCTCTACATAAAAATCCTAACTCTCTCCTAAGAGCTACTTCTTGTGGCTTTAGAACTATTCGTTAGGCTTCGTTCTACTCATTGCTATGTCTTCTTCTCATTGCTATGTTTTCAATCACTTCATAAGACTATATATCATTCTATATATCATTGTTAGGAATATGGTGTCACTCAAGAAAGCCTCTCATCATGAATGTAGCACAGAAGCACCTTTGTAATCCTGCTTTATTAAAAAAAGGGGAAAAGTAATACTTTGGAAGTGCTGATCACCTCCAACATCCTTAGACTTTGTCACGGAATCAGGCCTTAATTTAACAGTTGAAATGGCTAACTGCAGTCTCTTCCCATGTAATTTTTGGAAGATATCTTGTAGTTTTCAGAACTGCTTCCTCCTACCAGTTTTTCTCACCACTCCTATAGTCAATGCTACCTTTTCATAAATAGTATCTAGTGAGACTCTTTCTATGGCTTTCTGGTGCTCTGCCACAATTTCTTTTGAAATCTGAGGTCCCAGAATTCATATTAACTTTCATCCCACTAAACCTGTCAGTTGATGAAAATGGATCTGCAGCTCAAAAATAAATACATAAATGAATAAATAAATAAATAAATATATTTGAAGGGGAAGTAAAACTTGACTAGATTGATTTAAATATTTATCAGCCATAAGGGATGAGTCTTTCTGGAACATGGACTAGCAAAGTTTCATGAAAATTGCCTGGGCTTTTGAAAGGCATTACTTTTTGCAGCCAACTGCATTTCCAGAAGTCATTTTGAAGTATCACTACTTCACATAACCTTGAGAAATGTGATATCATTCCTAAGGGGAACAATTAGAAAGAAATATATATAATCCAGTCTGTTTCTTTCAGCTCCCAGGGAAACAAAGTTCGTTCCTTCTACAGCTAAACCAACTGCCAGACCCAAAATGCCACGAACTAGACCTGGTAATTATGTTCCATGCCAAGCATTATAATCATTTATTTCTTTTGTAATTTCATGTATTTGGGTTTAAAGTTGTAGTGTTTGAAATTCAGCGATTTCCGTTCTCAGGAAGAGTATACAAAGAGCACGTAGAAGGAAGAGTATGGAAAGAGTTTGCATCCCTTGAAAAATGTTAAGGTCTCTTGGTAAAGACTCGTGGTTTTCTTCTCTGTGTACCATTTGATTTAGATTTGCATGAATTCAGTGACATTTAACTTGTGTTGAGGCTTATAAGAAATTGCACAAGTGAAGCGTGAAACTTATTTCTGGAGTTGAGCAAATGGATATGTAATTTAGCCAGTGAAATTGAACCTAGTTTTGCATCTGAATTTGACTTGTGATGGGGGTTAAGGGAATCCACATACAGATTTATTTGAAGTTGCATAAATAAGAATACACATTTTATATAATGATGGTTTATAAAGATGTTAAATATTTTAAAAGATGCATACAGTTTATATTGTACTCAAACATTCTTTAAATAGAGATCAAACGATACTATAATACCTTCCATAATCTCTGAGAAATTTAGTTGAAATTTTGCTAGTAAAAAGAAAATTGCCGACTTCCAAACATACAGTTCCCACTGAAACTTGTTTTCTTAATTATATTTATGTCTTGGACTAGCATCAGTTATTATGGGGAAATTTGAAAACTTTCTCACTCTTTCTAGGATTCCTTGGTAAACTTTTTTCACAGAAAAAATAATTTATATTAATATGGCAGTTTTGTTTTGTCTCATCTAAGGATGATTTTCATACACTGTGCCTGAATTTTTTATTTTTTAATCAGCAAAGAAAACAACTCGTTTGGAAACCATTATGCCAAAATGTTTTAAACCCTCTGAACTGCCAAGGACAACAGTGGATAATGATGTTTCCACAGTAAATGACCACTTTGTATTTCTATTTAACTATAGAACAATCAGTGTGATTGAGTGTTTATGCTTCTCTTTTTGTCACCTCTCTGTTACTGGTCTCACTAACAGGTCAGACCAGAGGATATCCCATCTGTTCACTACTGAACTTTTAATGACCGCTGTTCACCACTGAACATTTTCTTTCTTCTACACAGATGTTTGTCAATTCTGCTTTTTCTTCCATAGGAATAAATTGTAGCCCTTACTCAGGTGTGTTTGTCTGGAGCACAAGTTAGTATGCAACAAAAGAGGATCACAGTTTGGTCTTCAGCCAGGAGGGAGGATGTCCAGGCTTCAGGATCCAACCAGCATCCTGGAGTCAGTCAGATTTAACCAAATCATAATTTCTTCCGTTGATTACCATTCAAGATACCAAAACTCTATGTAGATTGTGTGCACTGAGATACAGTCTTAACAAGGAGCCGAGTCAGGTTTTTGCATAGTTCTTGAAATTTTTTGCCACTGTTTTTGCTCATCATTGATCATTCTCTTGTTTTGGGTAAGGTTTTTTTTTTTTTCTGTTTGCATTAGAACTAATATGAAATTTCAGTCAAAAAACAAACTTTCTATGGAAACCAAAAATTTGTGCAAAATTGACTTCCTGGTTCCCCAAGCAAAACTATGAAGTCCTGAAGACTTACAGCTTCATTCTTGTTTGGGCAGGGAAGGGGGCAATAAAACTAGTCTACAAGAAAAATATACTTGGTGCCAATACAGTCACGTTCAGCCTTTGTGCTCACTTGTGTTAAGAGCTTTCTGTTTTCCTAAAACATAGGAAGCCCTCCAGTTGCCGAGAGAGAGAGAAGGTGGTGAGAGCTGCTTATGAGACAGATTTTACCGTACAACTAAACGCATTACAGCTTTTTCTCTTCAGGAACATTGTAAAATTGTGTGAGGGACCTATGTTGAGTCCCTCTTACCCTACCTTAGACTCTGATGTGCACAAATTCTCTTTTGTATCTTTCTGGCATAAATCTCTTGTTCTGTAAGAGCCTCTGTCCATTACTATTTATGGAATATGGCACCATTTGCATAGAGCTACAGAACTGCCTTGAAAAGCCTCATCTATTGGGAACATGTATTAGGGATCTCGTATGAAGGTGATATCATCATCCTAGTCTCTAACAAGGGTCTGTTCTATCCCAGTCACCTCAGTTCTCCCTTCCTAGCTGCAGATAGTAAACAGAACTCATGTTCACGTTTTTCAGGCTGTATCTTTCATTAATCAATTTTATTTTCTTGTTGTTAATGTAGAATAGTGTAAGACAGCTTGGCATATGTATTTTTTCCCCTTCTGTGAGCTCTCAGTCCCTTATTGGATCCATGTTGGGTCATGTTAGATCTTCAAGAGGTTTTACTCCTGCCTAGCAATCATCTGAAAGACCCTAATGCCCTAATCTAGTGCCTTTTATGCTTGAGCAAACTTTACTCTGTAACTCAGTGCATAGCTCACTGCACATGAGAAGGGAAAGACCCTTGAGACTTCGAGCTTCTCAGTGCTTACAGCCTGATACTCTGAAAAGCCCTTTAAGAGAAACAAGACTGATAACTCTGCCTAGACCGATTTACAGGACACAAGATATATTTCAACACTATGATCTAATCACTGCCTTGTGTCACAAGGATGGGGTCATTATGAGGGCCAGTTCTGACTTCTTGCTGCAGATGGTCTCAGATTACTACCTGTCTCAGTATATTTTACTCCCCATGTCCTTCCACAGACCCAGTTCCTGTCCAAAAGTGTCATCTCTATGTCTCTAGAAAAAACTGACACCCTTACAATTCTAGCAAGTAATTGAAACATTTTTTGAGATGCCAGGTTTAACCATTACCAAATAGAAACTCTCACACTAGCATTTGGAGATGCATAGAGCATTTCTATATCTATGCCAGTACCAGCACTCCCAGTATAAAGATATGTGTGAACCACTACTCTATCAGTACCTGCCTTAGACAAATTCTACTGGAGGATATTCACAAAGCAAGGATTTGTAATTCAGGGCACCTTTTTGCCCAATGACACTCCTTGGATTTAGTACTATAGTGGGATGTTCAGCTGGAGAAAGCATTTTCCAGTCCATATTTAACTAAGAACTCCTTGCCCTACCACTGTGTTGGTGGAGTATTGCTTCCTAATCTATCACAAGTGGGAATTCAAAGAATCCCTTGAAGAAGAAAGACAAGTTACTTCTGTTCTTTGCGAGTTGCCCCTGTGTATTTTCCCTACCCGCTCATCTTTCCCCCTACTTTGGAGCTCTGTAGAACATTGGGACTCTGTATCTCAGGGACTGAAATGGCTAGCTGTGTTGAATGAACTCTCTTCTGTGGAACAGGGTCATGCCTTTCACATGAGCTATCTCATTCAACTGCTGGGACGATATGGCTTTGTAAGTGTGTTATACTGCAGCTTAGTACCAGCAGGGCTACATCCAATGAATGCCAGTTTATGGAAGTGACTGCAGAAGAACACGAAGTACTGATGAGCTACTTCTGCTCCTCAAAGCCTTGAACATTACAGTCTCAGTTCTTTCTTCCTTTCAGCTCCCAGTAAAGCAAAACCTGCACCTTCCAAACCTAAAGTCACTCTCCAACCAGAAGAACCTAAGACAAAACCTGGTAATTACAATATGCTCTTCCATAACTGTCTTTGGTATTGTTTGTACGATACCTCCTGACTTTTTCTGGGATGCATGTCCACAGATACAGCATAAATATTGGCATCAAACAATGTCACAGACTTAACCATCTGTCGTTAAAAATGATACATCAAGCCGTTTTTATTTTGATTGTTGAATGCAATATTATTAGCTAAATTAAAGACTGACTTCAGGTTACCAATGAGTTAAGGACAGAAATAAAAAGTCTGAATATTTTTTTTTAAACATACGCCCTTCCTATCCTTTGTCCATGCCATTCTCATTAACCAAACACAAAGCACACAGTTCTGTGCAGGTGGTTAAATAAGTTGTTTTAAATAGAGATGAATAAAAATTTTCTATCCAAAAGCATGATATACAGGAAAGTTTAACTGAGAAATAATTTTATACATTATTCATAATGTTTATACATTATTCATAATGTTTGTAAGTGAGCCTCAAGTTTTGTGGATTCCACCTGAAAGATTACTTAGGATCAGACTACAAAATCTAGGAGTTTCTTGTGTGTAAAATTTAAAAAAGGGTGCCTCAAAAATGCACTGGATCTCCCAGTGTCTAAAAAACCTGCTGTACTTCAAATTAGCAGCACGGTGAATGCCTGCATGTGAAGCTCATGAGGTCTGTGGTGTCACCTATTCCACAGTCACTCTCATCTGGAGAAGCCCCTGGATTACAAACTCCATAAGAGATTGTTCACATATGAACAATAGATGAATTTCATCCATGTACAAAAAAGATCCAGAAATATCATAGTCAAGCTAAGCTTTACAGCATTCTATGCAGTATGAATCCTAAGATCTTAAAATACATGCATGAACTGTTGAGAAAATGTTAAAGAAGCTTAGCTCTAGCTCTGTCCATCTTAAGAGAATGTCCTTTGCTCCAGCAGCAACCAGGGAATCTGTTCCAGTTCCGGTCACTACTAAAGTTTCCCACACCCTTGAACATCCAAAGGCAACAACGGGTAATAATTACTGTCTTCTCCCTCCTCAGTGATTTGTCATCTTTTTGGTTTTCCCTGTCATTAAAGAGGACCATTTAATCTTCTAAAAGGACATTTCATTTCACTGTGTTCATAACTAATGAATGACTTTCATTCTGCTTCTAGATATGTGTTGGTATGGCACTGATGTCAGCTCTCTGCTATTATCTTTCCTGTTTGTTTTTGTTGCAGTGAAGTTGTCATTTGAAGCGGTTGTATTGTTCACTGTTCTTATCTGCTTTTGATATTTTTAAGAGCATTCTCATCTACTTATTTATTAAGACCGAAATCTTACTAAGTCAGCCACACAATTTCCATTGACTACAGTAGAAGTAGGATTCAGTCTTGAATTAATTAAAATGCATAGTTCTGGAAACTTAAGATCAAGCAAAAGTATCAGCATATTGGTAGTGAACAGATTAAGTGCAATAGTCATAAAGTCAAGCTGAACAACCCTAGTAACATTGAGAGGAGTTAAATGGGAACATCCTTTCATGACAATTGTTCATGAAGAATGAAAATCATCCCTGAGCTTGTCTATTCATGCATTTACACTGGTTTAAAGTTACTATGCAGTAAGTTACTGCCCAGTAAGCAGGAATAGGCTGGCATCTACACATGTAGGTGTTAAAGTGCATAAACGCTGTGTATTGACTGACTTTTATTTAGTATTTTGATCATGATCTGAGTTCTATTTAGTATTTTGATTATTATCTATTTCTGAAATTTCAATCTGTTTCCTAGACACAGGGTCCAGCTGTGAAATTTCGTTTAGGATCTAGATCTGGATCCAATATTACAGCCTGGCTTATTTCTAGAGCAAACAAAACATTTCAATTTGAAAACCTAAGCTACTTGCAGGAATTATACGAAGGTGATGTTGGGGTTTGTAATAATACTCGTATTTCAAGGCTTCATACTTTAAAATGACTCAAATATCACTTGAGTCACTAGCAACAGCAAGAGGAGAGTGACTCAATTGTGGAAGAAATAATATTTACTATTTAACATTTTAAGGCATTTTGTGAACAATAGCAAAGATCAATGCCCTCTCTGTCCTGTGATTCCAGAGCTATGGCATTAGTTTCAGAATCCCACCCCTAACCCCCACAAATAGGAAAATTATGCTGCAGAGTGGAAGCATTATATTTAAAAAAAACCTGCAGCTGTCTTCCCTGGAAATTTTGCATATCAAAATAAAAAATGTAAGTTCTGCATCAAACTGAAAGTGATTGCAAAATAAATCATTAATTTCTATACTGCCTGTATCAGTTGCTTTAATAGTATATTCAAGAAAACCCTCATATTTTTTATTTAAATTAAGCTGCCATGATATTACCTGGGTGGTCCATCAAAAAGATCCAGACTCCAGGAATTTTGCCACAAAATGTATGTATGATTTGCTACAGACTGCACAAGGCTTTGATAATTAGCAGGTGGCAAGGTATGAATTTAATTGAGAGGGCAACTCCTAATTGAGGTGGAGGATATGGAATTCCTGGTGGGTTTTTTTTTTTATCTGGCAGTGATCAATATTTCACTGCAGTATTTTCCCCACATCCACCACTTTTTTGAACAGGGATATTAATGACTGGCTAAGTTTCTGTTTCTCTACCAAGCTTTTGTTGTGCCAGTGTAGGCTTTCAGTCTGTGTTTTCTGTGGTCTGACTAGTGATGCATAGGGTAATTTAACTATGAACTGGACTTTTTTTCTTACAGCATCATATGAACCACAGCACACTCCATCCAAATCTAAAGCATCAACAAGTGCCCTGCCAGAAATGACATATAGTGAACCTGGTATAGTAGTCACTTTTTTTTCTGTAATTCAACACATGAACATGAAGTAATCTCTTAGCCAGACTCAGTGGCCCTGTTAACAGGAAGTTATGAAATGAAACCGTACAGCTTGCTTGGAGTAATCTAGTGGTTGACAAACCACCTTTGAGTTTTAAGGTTGTAAATTTATAACTTCAGTATGTGCCTGATTAAAAGCCTCATTACATTTAAAGAAAAAGGCATAAGAGTTACTGCAGTAATACAGATTTTTGAAACTTTACTCCTAAAGTAAGATATATGTTTATATACATCCATGTACATATATTTAATATACTTTTATTAAAATTCTGTTTATATGTAAATATATAAATATATCTTATATATACATTATTTTTATAGAATTGTTATACACATATATGTTGATATATATTGATACGAGCTGTCAAACAGTTCCTGGAAAAAAGATAATTTCATACTTCATGTACTACAACGTTACTCTGTAATAATGGTTTTCTAATTGAGAGATCAGGCATTGTTTTAGCATTATGTTCTGTAGAAACCAATCTTTTGTTTTTTCAAAATGGTGAATCTGGCCATCTGGATGTGAGGAAAGTTATTGAATCCGTAGCACTGGGTATGTGCATTTAATGGGATTTTTATTAAGAGTACATCCAAATTATTTGATGATAAATTTTTACACATTTTACTCTCCTGGCAAAGAGACTGTCTTGGGTACACCTTTGACTCTTTCAAATCTTACTTGAGGGAAGCATTTTTCTTTTGAAACATTGCCTGTCTTCACTATGAAGATTAAGTTCAAGGCAGCACATTAATGTATCTTCCATATATAGTTCTGCTGTGCAAAACCTGGATTTGGCAATGTGTACACTTGAGTGCTTCGCTAGATAAGAATAGATTTAGAGACATGCTAAAAACCTGTGCTGCTATACAGTCTAATTAACTTCAGTTAGATTCAGTTGTCTAACTAAGATGCCCTAGTTGCTAACTTGGCAAGGCAGAAGCGGGTGCCCAAAAATAGCATCCACCAGAGCTGCTGGCCGACCTCCATCACCAGCTCAGCCACTGCAGCTGTCTCATAAGCCACCACAACCCGTGGTGCAGAACTGCCCTGTTACTACATCTCTACTTAAATTCCCTTCTTTGCTACAGCAGTAAGTCCAACCTTTCCAGAAGCCAACCAAAACCATCTTGAAATGACATTGAAGCTAGGGATAGACATTCAAAAAGCCAGAGTCTGAATTCATTCAACCTTTGCAGGTTAGTCTAATCTGCCTAGGCTGAACTGGTTTGTAACAGGACAGACATTCTCTCTGGACTGAGGCAATGCAGGCACATGCCTGCAGGTGTTCAGGCCAGGCACCAGGGGGTAGAACATGCCCTTGGCTGCAGGAAGCTGTGCTGGGGGGACGTGGCCAGTTCAGGCTTCCCGCTCCTTGTCCCACCGGCAGGAACCAGAGCCGGGTCTGCTGGGTGCTCCCCCCTCGCTGCTGGAGCAGTGGGGTACCATGGCCCCTGAGGCAGAGGGGGGCAGGGAGGACAGTTAGTCTCCCCTCTACCCCCACTGGCAGCCAGGTCTGCCTGCCATTGCCACCATACTTCCTACCCCGAAATAGGCCCCCTACGATGGAGGGAGGGGGAATAACCCCAGTCCCTGCCTCCGCCTCGCCCCAACCAGCTCTGCCCTTCAGTGCAGGGCCCTTGGGGACAGCAGCCCCTGTTATAATGTCGGGGAGGGTAAGCCCCTTCCCTGCAGGGGTGCTGTGCTGTGCTGTGGGGCTGGCAGAGCCGCGGTGGGCTGTACTTGGCAGCACTGGGGTCACTCACCGCTCACTGCTCCAGCTGCTGGGTGGGGGCAGATCCCAGCCCCTACCACTTGGTCTGTGCTCAGGGCAAGCCCCCCCCTGGCAAGAGAGAGCTTACTCAGCCGCTGGCCCGGAGCACAGGCTGGGCAGACCCTGCCATGGTGCCAGCGGTCTTTCTGTGCTCAGGGCAAGCCCCCTTCCAGCAGAAGGGGGCTTATTCAGCCACTGGCATCATAGCGGGGCCTGCCCAGCCCAGCCACTGCCACTCTGTGCTGGGGACCAGAGGCTGAATGAGGCCCCTCCTGCTGGGAAGGGGCTGGCCCTGAACACAGAGTGGTGGGGTGGCCAGGCTAGAAAGACCCGGCCATGGTGCCAGTGGCCTCTCTGTGATCAGGGCAAGCCCTCTCTTGGCAGGAGGGGGCTTATTCAGCCACTGGATGCTGACACCACAGCAGGATCTGAATAAGCAGCCACCACTTAGCCTGTGCTCAGGGCCAGCATCTGAATAAGGCCTCTCTTTCTGGGAGTAGGCTTCCCCTGAGCACAGACTGAGTGGTGGGGGCTGGGCCCTGCCCCTGCCCAGCAGCTGGAGCAGTGAGCAGTTGGTGACTGTGATGGGCAGCAGCCCATCATGGCTTCCTGGAGCATGAGCCCCTTCCCAGCAGGGGCTGCTCTGCAGGGCTAGCAGGGCTGCTGCAGAGCATGGCAGCCTTCTGGACCCTGATGCTGCCATGCACAGCTTTGCCGCAGTTCTGCCGGCCCCACAATGCAGCACCCATTTTGGTAAGGGACTTACACTCCCCCACATTATGACAAAGGCTACTTCCCCTAACAAAGGTGTTGCCCACTCCCACTGCAGCAGCAGGGTGGGGGCACAGCCATGGAAGGCCCCTGGGGGTGTGGCCAGGGAGCTCAGTGGCGATGGTGGACAGACCCAGCTGCCAGTGGGATAGAGGGGAGACTAGCTCTCCTCCCTGCCCCCTTCTGCCTCAAGGGCCATGGTGTCCTGCTGCTGCAGCAGGAAGAGGGAGCACCCAGCAGACCCAGCTTGGGTCCCTGCTGGTGGGAATGGGGGAATTAAACCCCTCCCTAGCCAGACCCCTGCTCCTGCCTGTCCCTGCACTGGCTGGGGAGCAGAGGGGCAGGGCCAGCCTGGCTGGGCTGGAGCAGAGAACCCAGCCCAGAGAGCATGCTGGGATGCTGGGGGTCTCTGGTTCAACTTAAACCAGAAAGGGTCTGCGACAGACATTGCATAAACTGGTTTGAGCCAAATCAGGGAAGTCTGATACTACATTCAACCAGGTTTATCTCAAACCAGTTTCAGCTGTTTTGAAACTGGTTTATGTGCACTGAAAGTCTGTTCTGTTACAGGTTTAAACCAGTTTCTGATCACGTAAACCAGTTTTTGTGTAATGTCTGTCCCTAGCCTGAGTGACTAAGGGCCTCATTAGTTAACAATGGCTTTATCATAATTGTCTTTGCTTTGTTTTTATTGTCCCATTTAGAAAATAGAATTGTGCTCCAGAAGTCCATTTTAATCCAACTCCTTAAAAAACCTCTGTGTTCATAGAACCTATGTATCTTTCTACTTCTTTGCTCACATTCAAAAACAAGCAACACCAATTTTCTTTTTGATCCATCATTAGTAAAGTCACTTTTCCAAACATGCTTTGTAGTGTTGTTTCTTCACTGAAGGCTGTGGGCATGTGCTATTAATGGGACAAACATACCTTCATGTTACACCTTCATGTTTTAAATATTGATAATTATAACCCAGGTTTTTGTTTCAGAATCAAGTGAAACACAGTTCATACCTTTGACGGCAAAATCATCTGTTGAGCCCAAAATGCCTCAATCTAAAGCTGGTAAAGACAATATCTTTGAAATTTTGTACATTGAGGCTTAATATTACCTTAGTACCAAAAGGAAAATATGATGAGTCAGGACCTGCATTTTTCTTTAGTTCTAGCAATGCATCTTGTGAAGGAACCACAAATGAAAACGTTGGGTTTGCTAAATAGGGTCTATATAGGGGGCTATATTTTTAAGTCAGCCTTGTACTGGGAGGGGGAAAAGGAACTTAGATTCTTTCAGAAAATATATTGCAGAGATGAATACATTTTATTCTAATATGAATTTTCATTGGATTTCATAGGTTTATATTTCCTTAGTAATAAAAAAGAAAGAAAGAAAATCAGTAACATGTACCCTATCAAAGGGTGCCTGCAAAGCAAATGTATTTTTGGAAGTATTTTGCCATTATTCTGTAAAGCTGGTTGAAGAGTGTGCACAAGAGTGAAGTTGCCACACCTTAACAGTACACAACAGATACAATGGAAAGAATGATGGACAGTATAATGATGCGTTTTAGTGTCTGGCCACTTGTTCCCAGGTTATTTCATTTGTATCATACTGGAATTTAATTCTCTGCCAGTTTCTTACTGCTAAGAGATGATCCAGACCACTTATGGTCTGCTTGAGGGCATGGACCTACCTAATATAATTCAGGCAGGAGTAACCAACCCACTGCATGTACATTACAAGTGGAACATGCATCAGCTTTATTTGGCACATGACAGGTCTGGCAGGGAACAGGGAGAACAGTGCAGATAAGGCAGGGACTAGAGCAGAACAGTAGATCAGGCAGGGAGGAGAGTGTAGAACAATGAATGAGGCAGGGGAAGGGGATCAGAGGTGCACCCATGGCTTGTGGTCCTCAGCCAAGAAGGTTGGCACCGACTGGGTTAAGGTATGCTGGCTTCCTAGCAGACAGCACACAAGGAAGTGAATATTTAGCCTTCATGTTCAGCCACATCCAACTCCAAACAGCTAAGCACTCATTTTTAACTGAATTAACAGAGTCTGCCCTTGGCAAATGTCTAAAGTAGGACTCAGGATTCACAGGGAATCCTTTGCACTAGCCCACCATTATGTCCTACTAAAATTATTTTTTTTAAACTTCTTTGGAAGAGTTAAAAAGGAGAAAATAATTGCTTTTAGATATTGTTCAACATGAAGTAAAACATATTGATTTGACTTCAAGAGGGGTTTTTTTGTTGTTTTTGTTTTGTTTTTTCTTAATAAATTGGAAGCAAACCTGGAAATGAAGTTATTTTGAATCAGTAATCTAAATTTTTCATTTAAAAAAAACACTGAAACAAAACGTTTTTCAGCATTTTCAGAAGGCTTTATTTTTTACAGTTAATGAAGCCATAAAATTTCATTAAAGTCATAAAATGTTTACAGTAAATGAAGCCATAAAATTTCATATTTATGAAATATTAGAGGGCTATGAAATCTGCAGTTTTTGTAAGGAGACTATATTCAGATTTATCCTGTAATCTGTATCCCTCAGATTGCGCTACTGTACCAGATGTTTTTTCATACATTATTACTGTACTACTTTGCTGTTGGCATATTTGTTGCTTTTATTACCAGTATTCTGATTGTTATTTTGTATTCTAAGTAGACACAGCTATCTTTAGATTGCCACTACCTTTATTGACTTTAAATATGTGTAATGTTTCTTGTTAGTAACAGTGCAGGTGTCACTTGCTACAGTTTGAAGGGCTATAGATGTCAAGCTATGATTACAGTAGGCTTTTTTTTAAGTGGTTTTTGTTTTGTTTTTTGTTTCAACTGAAACGTAGTTCATTTCTTCCATACCTTAAACATCCCCACAACCAGAAATACCACGTTCTAAATCTAATAATGACATGTTTTGCAACTCAGTTAATAGTATTTTAACATATTTCCTTTATTTTGCTGTCAGGAAGTAGTTGTAGACTGTCATCTTGTATTTGCAAGTTGTAGTTTATTTTGAAGTTGGTATAATTTACTGACAGTTGAAAGAAATTATTTAGTACTGCTGTGATTTAATTAGGTAACTGGAGCCAATCAATGACTACACAAATTGATATTTGAAGCAAATGGGATTTTTAATTTTAGTTGGTCACTATGAGCCACCTTTTCACAATTTGATTTGTCCTATTCTGTGAGTTGGTCATGAACAACTGCAATATTTGATACTCAGCAGGTGTGTCTACACGTGTTGCTATGTCACTGTAGCAACACACTACAGCAATGTAGCATCCACGGGCAAGAGCCATGAAGCTGCAGCTATGTCACTGTAGCAACATGCTCCCTCATTATAGTGCATCGTTACAGCAGCATAATACCTAAAAATAACTGTGTGCAGTGAACACAGTACAGTACAGACTGCTACTGTGCCCTCATTTAGTACTTCTGGAAGGAAGTACTAAATGATACTGGAGTAACAACGGCGTCATAGCGGCATGTGTAGACGTGCCCAGCATGTGGGAGTTTAATATAGTTTGCTTGGTTGTGATTGATCACAAGTCTTCTGGTGTTTCTAAATTGAATGAGCATAACGCTTCTAGTCCCCAGTTAAAGCATGTAATATCATTCTTAAGTTGAGGCACATAAATGGTCCCAGCTGAGGGACTGAATTTCATAGGGTGAGATAGTAAGTTAGAACAAAAGGAAAAACATTCAGAAAACAAAATCTGCTAGATAGTAGACTAGTTTTCCAAGGGTCATGGTGAAGACAGAATAACTTAGGACTTTGGGGCTAGGTGGACAATGTATGTGATAGGTAAGAGTCATCTCACAGATGACCCAGTAAATCTTTTCTTTCTCTGACTTCTATGATTCAATCATTGTATTACCCCAAAACTGTGATATTTGTCATCTAATGCATGGAATTTCTTTTAAGATAGTGGTGTCCTTGGAATTAATTGACCACAGTTTCCAAAAATTGGAATAAGATTTTTGGAAAGATTACTTTTGATGATTCAGAGATTTGGCATAGCACAGTATGAGCATCAACTTCTACTTATTAACTTACCAGTCAAGTAACTGATCATTTTAAAGGATGTTCCACAGTTCAGCTTTTCATGCTATTTCTTTTATTTTGTTTCTAATACAGTCCTGGAACCTATTACACTTAGAACTGAACCACCAAGGTCAGCAATAGGTAATGACATTTCCGTAGCAAGCAATCATACTTTGTTTTTCTCATCATGGAAAACCACGCTGCAGTTACTCTCTTGCGCCATCAGTTTCTTTCATCAAACTGCAACTATTTTTCCTTGATGTGTCATTTGACACTGAAATGTCTTAAGCATTTTGTTTTGTTCACAGGTAAAATGTCTCTGTTTTAAGACAATAAGGCCGTTGGTTCTGAATCGCCATCTGTCATGCTAGCACATTTATTCTTTGCTAGGTTTTTTTTTAAGCTGGGCTCCAAAACTGACCAGGAATTCCATTCACCTGCTTAGGCTGATTTAGCTCTACATAATGCTATATTTTTCTTTAAACTCTTTTGCACACTTGGCTTTGCCTTCAGTGTTACTCCATTTTGTTTCTCCATTTCAGGCTTGAGGTATTCCATATTCTTGTGTTACCACTTGTTGCACCTGGCATCAGCTCAGATTCCTGGAGTACTAAATAACAGTTTATAACTCTGCTTCTTTCTTTCAGCTCCAAAAGAAACACAACATGTTCCTTCTAGGCCTAAACCATCACCCAAACCTCACATACCTCAGACTAAACCTGGTAAATTATTTGGTGATATTATTGAATATTGAGTTTTAGTTCAAAGCAGCTATTTCTCTAAGTGATATGAAATGTACTCAGAACCATAGCAATAAGATGAAGCTCTGCTGTAATGTGGTAGGTGTATTGTTCGTTAGCCATTTATGACAATAACAGAAATTCACTAGCTGTTGATAACCTTACATAAGTCTTTCCTACGTTACATTTACATGGCTTTGAATTAAAGTGGAATTACTCTCAATTTATACCAGTATAATTAAGACTAAAATTTTACGAAGTATTAAATAGAATGAAGTTTAGGCCCCTGCCACATGTTACACTTAAGATGTGATTAACCAGTTAACCAGTATCAGGTTCCTGCATCGGGGAGACCCCTCAGCTGACAGGCCTTCCAGCAATGGGGATGAAATGTAGTCCCACAGCAGGCAGCATGGATTAGCTGACAGGACTTCCATCTGCAGGAGCTCATAGTACACCCCCACAGTTGGGAGCCCCATCAGCTGAAGGGGCTCCCCACTGCAGGAGCTATTTGCCAGTGCAGGAGTATCCTGGGCTCGTTCTGTGCCAGCAATAAGGCATGATGGGATCTGATGCTCAATCTCACCGTCACACCTCCTGCCATGCACATATTGTATCAGATCTCATCATACTTTTACCTGAACATCTGGTATGTTGGAGATGTATTTGTAGAGTTCTTCAAATTGTTTTGCATCATTATTAAATAGTTTAGACTTTCTCAGACCTGATGAAGGGCATTTTGTGCCCCAAATCTTGTACATTTGTCCCAACCGTAGAGTTAGTTTTACTATCAAGTAAAAGATATTACCAAATAAATTTTGCTTACTGCACTGCCAAAAAGAAAGACAATTTTATGGTTTCCACTATTGCTGATTGTTACATTTCTTAGTCTTTTCTGGAACAGTAAGTAAATTACCAAATAAACAGTTAATATTTAACTGGATTCACAGTATCAATATATATAACCATTCAATTTTCCATGACATTCTGCATTTAGTATTTATTTATACTGTCAGTAAATCTAAATTCAATAAAAATTAGTGGTCGTCAGAAAAGTCAACAGTTATTCCACAGCAGTATTCAAGACACTGTCAGTAGACAGTCGTGTTCATAACTGCATACAGCTTAACTTACTAATGAGTGCCCAGCCAAGTGGATAGAGTCACTGTGCCATGTTAGTTGTCTTAAAAATAACCACTTACTTATCATGATCTGCTTTGAAAAAATCCAACCTGAGCTACAGAGTGACTTTTAAAATCCTGAAATCATTGCAGCTGTTTGCAGAAAGGCTCTCTGAAACTTCCAAGTTCACATAAAACATGTATTTAATTGAATATATATATTGGCAATATCTTTCTCCCATCTTTAATTACACTTGCATTCATCTGTCCTCCTCAGATGAAAAATAGTGTTAATTAGCATCGCAAATCTGAGAGGATTGTATATCCCTTGTAAGCATTTTATTATATTTTTCAGTTATGTACTGATCATCATTTCTGTGAGCTGCACTAAGATACAGAATGTTATTTCTGAACTGATGTCTGTCTGTCTCACCATCTTATTTTCTTGGTATTACCCATAAAGAACAGTTAGGATAGGACGAGGTGTCACTTTTGTTGTGCCTTTGCATTTCTTTGGGGAGAACTGCAAGAACAATTGAGTCTTAGGACCACTAGTACCTGTTGGATATAAAACTGGAAAACAGAGTGAAAAGCAGGTGTTCTGTTTCACCTTTAACTGCATGCTGGAACAAGGTAGAGCTAATATGTGGCCTGTGATATTCATGTTGCCCAATGCACAAATAGCTAATTCTAATAATATGGACAAAAAAGAGGGTTTCCAAAGCCAGTTGTATTTACAAATTTCATTTGAAATATATGTCTCAGGAAAGAGCTGCAAGGTATGAGCTCCAATTTCCTGGCTCAGGTTTGAAGTAAATGTAGGCATTCTCTTAAGACCGTAGGGAGATTCTTGAAAAAAATAGCCTTGTGCTTTAGGGAACTATTTTTCTGCTCAACTGCTTAGGTCCTAATTGTCTATTATAAAGATTTAATGTTGATTATCTGGAATATAATAACTTGTGTAAATTGACTAATTGGTGGTAGGCAATTGAAAGCATAATTACAAGACTTAAATAAAGATAAATTTTAATGGAATTATTCCCTTTTTTCATTAATCCTTCTACATTTCTTGTTTTCAATATAGTCCTGGATCCTATTACACTTAGAACAGAACGACCAAGGACTGCAATAGGTAATCACATTTCTGAGGGGATTCCCACATTTGTTTTTCCTTCTTGTTCATGATATCTACACCACAGCTTCTGGCTCAGTATGTTCCTCTACCATTACTTTTCACCATTTACTTTCTTTTTATTAGTACTCTAGGTGTCTTTGCCATTTTGCACTAAAAATTCATATCCACCTTGCTTTTCCTTCACAGGAACGCAGTTCTGGTGAAACAGTTTGCTTCTAGAAAACTTGAAAGCAGCCCTGTCTTTCTGCAGCCATCTTTGTGTTCACGATAGTATCATTTTGGGGTTTTTTACACTCGGCTCAAAAACTGGCAAGCAGTCCCACCATTGCTTTATTTGGTTTTCTTACAGAGAATGTCCATCAGCACAACTTATTTTCCTTTTAAATTCCTTTGCATACCCAACTTTCATTCTTCATTACTCACAAAGGATATTTGTTTCTCCAGTGGGGCCCGGAGGCATGTTTTGTCTGTGTGTATCATGCCTGATGTTAGCCAGAGATGGCTGGAAAACTGTTTTAATAATTGCGTTCTTTATTCCAGCTCCAAAAGAAACACGACGTGTTCCTTCCAAACCTAAAGCAACGCAGAGCCCAGAGATGCTATCAACCAAACCTGGTAAATACCATTTTGCAGCTCCTCAAACTGAGGTGCATATTTCATTAACTCAACCACAGTCAATTTGGTGTTTCACCTATGTGTAATACGTGATACACCTACAAGTGAGTTTTATTTGCATGTCTTGAATTTGTCTTGCACCATTTCTTAAAAGACCTAATCCATTACCAGCAAAAGGTCCCACGGGGAAGTACTACCCTCACCACTTGGTGATATATTCTCTGTGTAATTGTAAAACTTCCCAGTAAGTTAATTTTATTGATCTATGGCTTGGGGGTCATTTTTTCAACCTGTCACTTCCACAGCTGCGTATCTTGCATATAAAATATAAAATTATCTATAGTTAAGTCTTCGGTGATTTATCTGCAGTGACTGTATGGGTCTTCTCCCCTTTTTAGGTTCTGTCTATTTGCTAGCTCATCTAAGGTTTATTTTTTGTGACATCTTTGTTTAGAACTGTTTTCTGGGATAAAAGAGGTATAGATGTGAACAATAATTTGTAATGGAGGAGAAGGCACTGCTAACAGTCTTTATTTTTTCATCATTCATATTTCAGCAATCCATTCTACACAAAGCCTTTGTTTTTTGTAGTCCATTTGTGTTATATTTGTTTATAAAATCAATTTATGTAAGAAATGAAAGATCTGTTGTCTACAGGCTTCAAAAACCAAATGTAAAGCACCTAGAAATTCACACCAAGTTAATTCTGAAAAACCACATGAAATATCCCTGTAATTGGTTGCAAAAGACCCTAGACTTGTATTTAGAACCTGACATACCTTGTAGGTACTGCCTTGTGTTGGAAGTGGCTTTGAGATGCAGGATCCCAGCAGATATTATGTGAGCCACTGCATCTCAGAGAAGCACAGTCACTGTAGTACACTTTAGGTAGATGCTATATGGACTACTCTTATGGATATCTACCTCTGCCAGTCACTTGGGAGACGGTGAGGGCTGTGGAATTGCCCTCACCTTGCCTCTTCCTATTAACCCTCTGCATTCCAAGAGTAGGTACTGCTCTTGGATTTGCATAATACTATAATAATAGCACTTTTAGTGGGGGATTGGATTCTTTTTTTGCCTGCCCCACTCCCTGCCTCCCTTACATATCTATGCAGGACCAGACAGGGCACAGTGTAAAGCTTAATTCATAATACTTTAGTGTTATCTACTCAAAGTACCTGGGGAAGGCAGCACAGCTCTACTTTGAGTACCTGATTTGAATCTAATTCATGGGTGAACAGTAAGATGTGAATAACATTTTGTTAGGTGATAGTTGCATACTGTCTCTGAGAGTTGAAAATGCACATCTAAGGTCAAGTCCACAAAAGTGCTTCAAGTGAGATCTAATTAAGCTACAAGATAATCAAGTCTGTTTTTAAAATATCCTTTGCAAATAAGGCTAAGATGAATTTTAATTAAATATTTCCTATGATTATTGTGCTATTTGTTTTTATTTTTCATTATTTTAATGCAGTGCTGGAACCCATTACATTTAGAACTGAAAAACCAAAGGCAACACTAGGTAATGCAATTTTCAGCTTGAATGGTCTTATATGTTTTTCCCTCTTAACAGAATAGTCAAGATAAGAGAATATAATTCATTCACATTCACTCCATTACTTTTCTCTCACAGTTTCCATCTTTACTTTTCACTTTTGCCTTGCTTGTGCATTTGTAATTTGACTCTCAAAGCTGTTTGTTGCCTTCTTTGTTTTATTCATAGGAATATAGAAATGGTTGAAATTCACCATGTTGTGGAGTGTCCGTAAAAGGACTATACATTACTTAAGTCCTACTCAATCCCTCAAATTTAAGAGACTTAAGCGATCTTTGGAGAGAGTATAGGTCTGTTGCACACCTTTTTCGCTCAACCTTTGACCTATCACATAAAGCTGTAAATCGTTCTACCACAACATTAAGTAGGTCCATCATCCTCTCATTCTGTCTTTTCCTTTTGGTTTGAAAACTACCTCTTTTATTGTCATTTTTAAAAGCTCTGTTCAATACAAGACCAGGACCTTGCTTATTTGAGGTCCTGGTCTTGTATTGATGCTTTTCCACACTGCTGCTGCTGCTTCTCTTGAGACTCCTGTGCACCACTTGGCTTGTAAACAATTACATATGCAAAAATACTCCTATCCCCATTGCAGGTTCTGAGGCACACTGTTATGGCTGGCATCAGGGTCTCATTCTTAATGATATTTAACTCAGGTTCTTTCTTTCAGCTCCTAAAGATGCACGACGTGTATACTCCAAACCTTCCAAAACAGTACCCAGCCCAGGAGTGTCACCAACCAAAGCTGGTGAGTCTGTGTCTCAGTACGGTGAAGTTTTTCATTTTCTAACATTCTCACCATGAACTGTTGGGCTGTGCATAACACAAGGAGAAATATATTCTACCAAGCCTCTGCTTGACAGCTGTCAGGGAACAAGATAATGGCAATAAATAGTCGCATATAATAGGAAATTCAATTTATAACAGCAGTTAATTTTCTTTTTTTGGGTCCCTGCACATAGGTAGATATTTGTCTCTATTTCCATAGGCTAGGCGAGGGTTTTTATAATCAGTTGTCCTACACCTATAGTTTCAAGAGACTACTTCATCTAATAGCAACCGACAAAATTCCAGAAAAAACGCTACTTAAATAAAAACCAAAACAACCCATCTAAATGTAAACTCTGAATTTTCATGTTTTTGCTGCTTCTGTTGTTTGGCTGGAGGTATTTTGGGGCTAAGTTGACTTGAGAGGGCAATAGGTACTTAGAAAATACAGCAAATATGGTTAGGAACAATGGGAGAAGGAAGAAATGGAGATCTTCAGCTATACAAGAGTAGGAGGAGTAACGGTCTTAAAGGCCTACCCTAGTTTGCAAGAGCACTTCAGTCCCTAACCTGTGCTGTAGTTTAAATAGGTTTAAATGGCACCTTAAGGGCCAGTATTAGAGCTGGGAAATTTCTATCCATATTATTTCAGTGGAAGATACAGGTTTGCAAAATTGTCTCTGGGAAAGTGGCAGTTTTCCTTCTGGAATCTCCCCTGGCAGTCCATCTGTCTGACTTTACAACTCTGCTTCTCTTCGCAGGTCCCAAAGAGACTCGACGTGTCCCATTGAAACCTAAAACAACACCCAGCCCAGATGTACCACAGACAAAAACTGGTAATTCTGTCATTGTTTTGCTGTCCTAGTATCAAGGGGCTGTTTGTTTGTTTGTTTAGCTGTTATTCCTTAATAGACAAGAGCGTTTTAAAACTAATCTATTACCAGTGCTGTGGTGCGAAGTAGCTGCCATTTGCTATCTCACATTTTATGTCTTCAGATGAATTTCACAGAGACGTTATGACTACTTTTTCTGGTGTTAGGAAATGGTTAAAGAACTTTAGGGACCCTGTTGTTAAATAAGATGAAAGACCATATTCTGAAAAATGTTAAGAAGCTTTATTTTTACTCTTTTATGGAGTACACATTGCCTGGTGGGCAATTCCTATTATTTGACTTCCCACAAAGTCACTTTGGGTTCCAATAAGATTGACAAACTTCTTGAAGTTCACCTGAAATGAGAAGAGAATATCTCCTTATGTTTTCTAAAAAAGAAAATCTGGGTGCTTTAGAAAATATCATTAACATGAAAGGGACTTTTGAAAAGGCAAAGTGGCTAAAAAAAAAAAAAAGTATGTATCTAAATTATTGCAGAACAGAATTATAAATTAATTCTAAATGAAAAGAAGCGATTCCAGGTGTTTGGAGACTTTATATGTGTATGTGTCACTTCAGATTCTCTAGTCCATCTGAGGATTCATGAGATGTGAGGGAACAACAAAGGTGGTTTTTAACCTCAATCCCAGTGTTCATGCTTCTCTGATTTATGCTCAGTTGCCCATAGAGCAAAGTGGGGAGTAGCACAGAGCTGCTATTGCACCGAGCAATACTCATTACTTGAATGCTTAAAGGAACAATCCACCGGGTTTAAAGCTAATACAATACCAGACACCAAGCTGGTAATTGATGCTTACTTTAACTAGATTTAAAGCTCACAGAACACTTCCTTCCAGGTTATTGCCCTTACTGATTCTCAGGCAGTTAATTTGGCATCCACAGGCACTAGCTAATGCTTTGAATGCTAAAAAGCCAAAGTGATTATCCAGTCTTTAAGGGCATCTATACCTGTGCAACGAGGCTGCTCCGATGAGCAGACTTGATTAATCAAATCTGTGATAATTACTGGATGGTAATTACTGTGCTCCAGTATAGTCCTGCATCACTTATATCAGCATCCCCTTGCTGAAACAGGGTAGTGGTGGCACTTTAACTAAAGCTTGTCTGATGAGCTTTAGTTAAAACACCCCCACTACCATTTTTCAGCACGGGGATGCTAATACATATGATGCTCCCGGTGCCTGCAATGCTCCAGGCACTCTCAGAGCCACTCGAATTAAAGCACCCTCCTGCCCCCACAACCCAATCCCACTCCCAGAACGTGTATAAATGCCCTAAGACTCAATCCCTTCTAGTGTGGTACTTCTACTGAAGCAGCAGTTGCATAGTAGAAATAGTTTTATGCTGAAAGTTGCTCTGTCTTGCTTCCATTATGAGAAGCAAAATCCAAATAAAAACACTTCACAGTAACTCAACAATACATGATTTTTGCCATGTTTCTTTTTCCCTTTGCAGTCATATTTATTTCAATGTTATCACTTCAGTGATGTCTTTCAGCTATTACTGAACAGAGCTATGTTCAGTAGCATCACAATATTGAATGGAAGAGGCCAAAATTAATGCTTACCTAAGAGTTTCCAGCCTCTTCTTTTTTTGATGTTTCTCATTTCACTTAAAAAGGCCACTGTGTTGTATTTGAAGTTTTGACCTGTAAACAGATTTTTAAAAATGTTGGTGATAGGGGCAGCGGACCTCTTAACATGTGTAGGTGGATGATTTGAATGGATTGTGAGGGTAATTATCAGATGTATGTCCTTGGGTTTACATATGGCAGGGTTTTTGTGGGGCATAAACAGTCTTGCTTTTAGCAAGAACACAGCTATAAGAAAGAGGAGTCAGGTCGATTTTTTTTTAAAATAATTTGTTTCAAAAGAGAAATTGGAGTCACTTTTCTCCTTTAAAGACTATCAAAATATTTTAAAGAAAAGATAGATCAAACTTTAAGGACTATCTTATTCCCTTATATATGAGCACAGCTCTAGATTGACTCTAGATGTTTCTAGGGAAGATCCACATGTTGAAGTATGCAGCTGAGGGCAATGCAGCTGAGGGCAGAGCCTGGCTTTTAAAATACATAGCATGAGAATTCAAATTCTTAACCTAGGAGGTCCTTATCAATTGCTGAGCCAGTGTGCTTGTACTACTCCGCCCATTAATTGACCTGAATTAATGTGTATTAATTAAATATACATTGACAACTGAGAGCAAACTTTTATTATTCAAAGGTTCTTGATCATTTTAAAGGGAATTATTCTACCTTTTAGGTAATTCTTATGATTAATGATGTATACATTTTTCTGTTTTGGTACAGTTTTGGCATCTATTGCAATTACAACTGAACAACCAAAGCCAACATTAGGTAAAGATGTTACCTTTAAAGGTTGGTCATTTTCCCCACTTCTCTTCCATGGACCGAGAATATGCATTCTTATTCCATTACTCACACATCATTGTTTTTTACCATTAAACTTCATTCTGCTTTGTGTTATAGCTTCTCCTACCATTTGGAACTGGAGATTCTTAGCTGCTCTCATTTCTTCACAGGGAAAACCTTGCTTCAGTTCATGCATATATTATAATTTCATTGATATCTCTAGGATTTAAGCATGCATGAAGAGACCTGCCCTGGACATTGCAGGTATAAGGTGTGATGGAAATTTCTCAACCATCCTGCAGTCACATCTGTCTATATTTACAGTTCTCTTCATTCTTGTTCAGCTTAGCTCCAAACAGGATCTTACTTGCTTGATCATTTTTCAGATGCTTTCATGTGCAAGGCCTTCTTTTTAGTTTAAACTCCTGTGTGAATCTGATGTTCAGGCTTCTTCACTATCCATGTAAAAAAAGTCATTTCTCTAATACAGGCCCATGACATGCAATACCAGTGCATGGAAACTTTCAATGCTTACAATAGGTTCTTTCTTTCAGCTCTAAAAGAGACTCAGTATGTTCCTTCCAAGCCTAAACCATCACCTACCCTAGATGCACCACAGACCAAACCTGGTAAATGATTTTGCATTTCATCATGCTGATGAGGTTCATATGTTACCATCTCTTCTGTAACAGACTGTTTAAAATAGATTTAATTTATGGCAACAATAACAATACCAGTATTATTTTTTATAACTGACGCTTCCATGTCACTGCACTTAAGGAATCTGCACTTAAGGATCAGTCTGACAAAAACAACAACATTTTAATTGCATTTTTCAGTGCCTGGTACAAATGTTTCCATGAGGGAAAGTGGCAGTGATCCCTAAACAAAGCTGCTTCATAAATTTAATTAGAAAAGATATGTGTAAGGTAGATGTGGAAAACACCAGCACTTCCATTGTTTGCAGTAGACCATGAATATTGGGAGAAAGTCCTTGGGCTACAGAAGTGTATGTGTGTGTGTTTTCTGTGCCATGAGGTTTCATTCAGGTTCAGTTGAAGAATTAACTTTTAAAGATTACTTCTATCCTTTTCTCAGCTGCATTCCTAGGGAGAATGTTGGCAACCTGCTGAAACAGTAATTAAGCAGACAAATATTTTGATGTGCCAGATTCACATGACTGCCAAAATGGACGTAAAAGAAAACATTGTATAGGGACATCTAGAAGTGGGTTGGGTCCTGGAGCAACAGGGGAGTAGAGTGGTATACGCTGAGAGTTAAACCAGGTCTGCATGCTAATACCATGCTCATCACCTGGACTTGATATGTGATACCTGGCACTTCCCCACACTTTGGGGTTACCATTGGACACAGAAGATACTTTAAATCCTGGGCCAGACCACACAGCCATTCCCAGATGCAGCACATGGTGCCAGTGGCCTATTTCATTGTGCTGTAGCAGCATTCCCTGGATGTCACCTAATGCTGAACCTCTGGGCCCCCTGCCAGCTGGGGCTGCTCCAACCTGGCTCAATGTGCTGTGGTCCTGGGTGCATCTGTACACATGATGCCTGGGAGCAATAAACTCCAGCACAGTATGTGCCACAGTTTATTGTTGTGCATTAATATGCATGTGTAGATGCACCTAGAAGGCACATCCCCACGAGTTTGCATGTGCAGGGAGCACATTCACTGTGGGCCATATAGCAATAGCACATATTTGTGCACTGCTATTTGTCCCCATACACCCCCCTGCATGTGCACTCTGGCACACAGCAAATTGCCCCAGGTGGGGTAGGGGAGGTTGCCCTATCAGCCTTCCCTGAGGTTCTGAGGGCTTCCCAGGGCAGCAGTGGTGCTGAGTTGGGCACTTTTAGCCTGGCTGGCAACCAAAGTGTGCTCTTTTGGGTAGAATAAAAGCCAATATGTAAAATGCAGGTCCATGAAAATGCAAATACATGGCAGTGAGGATCTGAGGGAATGAGAGACAATAGGTGTGAGACAGGTTGGGTGCGGGGATAGAGGAATGTAGAACTGGTGATAAAATGTAACTGGTAAAATGCAGACAGGTTACCTGGGGTTATCACATGGCAGGCAGGTTATAATGCGCCATACATCCAATGTCTATATAGTTATGGCTCTGCTTTTCTATACAAAAAGAAACATACAGTAGAACCTTATTGCACTCTGTCTGAATCAATATTTCAGAAAGAAAGAAAAATGTTCTTTTACTTTAGACATTATGTCTGTTTTCCAGTATAACATTTTCAGCCAAAAATAAGATGACAGTTTTCATTCCAAATGGATAAATTGACTTTAAACATTTTGGATGCATCTCTAAGTCCTGCAAATAAAGTCAGAGGAAAAATTACGCTTGCAAATTTGCTGTAGGAAAACCAGTATTTTTCATCAAAATCCACATTTTCTCAAGAAAATTCCAATTTTGAGTCTCACTTCTAGGTGAGAAAACTCTTCCACACAATGAAATATATTGACCAGTTCTAATTTTAAGGCACCTGATCAGAAACTATTGTAACAGCCACTGAAATATTCTGCTTATTATTAGGTATGCCATGGAAAATGAAGATATACATTTAATTGTTCAGGCACGTGAAAAAGTCAGCCTATATCATACTTGCACACACAATAATATACTAAGATAGGTCTAAACCAAGACCCTAGTTCATATTTTTTTTCACCTTTTTAGGAAAACCTACATCTAGACCTGAATTTTTGCAGCCTGTATTTATAAAGAAAACCTACTAAGGAAAATTTTCACTCCAATAGAAAACAACGTATTTGAGTGTAGTGCCATCAAGCTGCTTTAATCTTCGTTTAAAGATTTTTTTTAGAAAACCAGTCCTGAAGTTCTCTGGAATAAAACCTATAATGCCATGCAAATCTTTGAGATAAAATTCCTGCTACAATTATAAAACACCGCTTGGGCTGATATAGTTTATATATATCTTGATTATCTTTCTCAGGATTTATCTCCAATTTTTTTCCAGCCGAAATCATTCCATCCCTCCAAGAACCAGTCACTACTATAACTCCTGAACAAACAAAGGCAACGCTTGGTAATAATGTAATTCAATTAATAATCACCCTGCTGTTTTCATTCTCATCATGGAAGATATTCCAAAGAGATGCTTATTTCATGCTATAAGAACTAATCAGCCTTTTCTTTGCTTCTAAATGCACACTTGTCCTTTGGCATTGAACACACAGTTTTGTTTTGCTGTTCTTCATCTTTCAGGCCGCAGCACTTCATTTTCTACCCCAGCCTGAATCTTTGAGCTTGAAAAGACATAGAGGAAAAGGAATCCACTTCAGTTTAATGTATTTCTAGGGAAAAATAGTAGTCATATATCCTACCTTTCTCCTATTAGAAGGACCACATACTATAATTAACCTTTAGTAACTGTTGGATCACGTCTACCTGGGCTTATTGTACTCTCTAGATCAGTGGTTTTCAATCTTTTTTCATTTGCAGACCCCAAAACATTTTGAATGGAGGTGCGTACCTCTTTGAATTGTAAGTGTAGTTATTCATATTCATCTTTCACAGATCCATTAGACAATCTGTGGACTTCCAGTGGTCCATGGACAACAGGTTGAAAACTACTGTTCTAGATCTCTGTCCTATTCTTAGAAGTGTGCCTTTCCAGCTTGCCTCCAAGAATACAGCTACTTCTCATTCTCCATTCATAGGTAGTTAGCTTTTTAAAAACTAATGCTATCATTGTATCTTTCCATTATTTCTCAAACTCTGGAAACAAGACAGTAATACTTAGAAGGGATGCATGACTGGCAGCTGTTGATGCTGCTAGCTAGCTGCCACAATTGCCCAGGGCACAAAAACTGTTGAAACTGCCTCTGAGGTGGCATATCCTACTCCATCCATAGTTCCTATTTTAATAAAAATCTAGTGTCTCTGAGGCCTTCTTGGAAACAATCAGCCTTTTAGCCTCCCGATCTAATCACCCAGCATAATCAGGAACAAACTTGAGGTCATTCCAGGCTTTGGTGAATCTTTATTTCATCAGAATCATGGTCCAGTTCTCTGCTGTATATGCACATCACGTTTTAATTTTCAAAATACACAGTTTAACTTATAAGTCATTTCTGTCTGCTTTCTAGCACAGTGTGGAAATGAAGAAGTGTTTTCATCAAAGCCTTTGACATTCTTTATGTTGTTAGTCTCTTCAGCTCTACAATAGAATAAGGCTAGGGACAGACAATCAAAAAGCCTGAGTCTGAGCTGATTCAATCTTTGCAGGTTACTCTAACCTGGCTAGACTAAACTGGTTTGTAACCACAAAGACACCCCAGAAATGCAGGCAAATGCCTGACGTGGCTCAAGCTAGAAGCCAGGGGGTGCTAGAGCAGCCTTCCCTTCCCTTCTAAAGTGCTGAGCTGAGGGGGGGGGGGGGCATGGCCAGGCCCTGGCAGGATGCTGTGATTAGGGAGGGTCCCCTTCCCCCCCCAAGATAACAGAGCATTTATCAGTATTGTTAGCAGCATTTAACACACCATCAGAAAACAAATCCCCTCACACTAGCTCAAGCTCTTCTTAAACAACTTTTTCCAAGGAAGGAAACATTCCAAGGAAGGACATTACCAGCTACCTGTTGATTAGCTCCAAAAAGGACACAGTCCAGTCTGCCTTTGTCCCGTCTACCACAGCATGGACCATAGCCAGCACGTGGTATGCTAGCTAATGCTGAGAGGTGTCTGTGTAAGGTAGAGGGGAGGGGGCAATCCCTGCTTCAGCAGGGACTGGTGAGCAGAGGAGGGGGGAGCAGGACGAAGCCAGGCAGACACCTGCAGTCTCTGCCGGAGCTCCAGCCAGGGAATAGAGGGGAGGGGCCAGCTCTGCTGTGGACTAGAGAACGCAGCCCAGAGAGCATGCCAGGATGCTGGGAAAGTCTGGTTTAACTTAAACCAAGAAGGGGTCTGGGACAGACATTGCATAAACTGGTAGGACCCATACCTGTTAAGTCTAATATACTACATTTAACTAGGTTTATCTCAAACTGGTTTCAGACATTTTTAAACTGGTTTATGTGCATTGAACATCTATTCTGTTACAGGTTTAAACCAGTTTCTGATCACTTAAACTGGTTTATGTGTAGTGTCTGTCCCTAGCCTGAAAGGATGGATCCTTTCTAGCTATGACTGACAATATGGCTAAACTCCACTTACAGAGGTCTCCCACTGTATGGCACAGGGCGAAAGAAGGGAGGGCACACATGGCATGGCAGGAGGACCCAGCACAGCATGGGGTATTGGCACAAAGTAGTGGGGGTGGAGGGGCCCACGTGGTGTGCAGCTCTTAGCCCCTCAGAAGTTTGACAACCATACTCTGGATCATGATTTTATGAATTTTTTTTTAAAATAAGAATACAGGTTCTTCATAGAACAGATGTGTGTAGATATTGTCTCAGATGTCTAGAAATTGAATTCAAAATCGGTCAGACTATATCCTGGTTCTCATAAATTCAGTTCAAAAAACTTTTACGGAAAGGACATATTAATTTTTTTGCTGATCCTATGCCAGGCTCTGAGCCCATTACACAATTTCATATGAGATAATTAAAAAAACTATAGGCATAATCCATTCAAAAATCAAAACAGATTGGGTATAATGTATTTACAGCTCCAAGCAGCAATTCAAATCCATCTCTCCCATCACCTTTATTGACTCCCAATCTCCCCTCTTGAGGAAGGAGCTCAGTGAGTGTTTAAATAATCAACCACAGTATCTTTTTTTCTGAATTTCAGTGTTAGACTGTGGGCACATCTACATGTGTTGCTATGGCAACATTGTTACTGTGCCATAATTTAGCACTAAGTCCTTTTGAAAGTACTAAATCATGGCGCAGTAACAGCCCATACTGTGCTGTATGTGCGGCCCATCATTATTTTTAGCAGCTACTTCACCATAGCAGCATGCTATACTGGTGTCACTATGGCAAAATAGCTGATGGTCACATGTAGATGCCTGTGGATGCTACTTTGCCATAATACATTGCTATGGTGACATAGCATCCCATGTAGATGCACCCTATGAGTAGGAAAGCCTCTGAGTGAACTTAATGAAACTCCTAATTCAGGACTGTGGGAAGAAATGCAATTTGTACTAGAGAAAAAAATCTGTTTATTTTAGAAGAAAAATGGATGCTTCTTGTTGGAAAGTGTATTAATCACTAGAAGCATCTAATAGTCTTAATTCATAATCTACATTGTCATCAGAAATTGGCCAAGATTTATCAGTAATATCTGTAAATTAACACTGTCTCTTTCTCAGTAATATATGTAGACTAATCTCTGAATTATGCTATTTTGCTTCAAAAATGAAAAATTCATCCTATCATCTTATTTTTTACAAAACAGTGTTCCCTTTGTTGGCTGAAAGAGCAAAAGGCTGAATACCTAAAGCATGCATTAGCAGTCATTTGATAGGTGTTTCCATTTCTACACTTTGGGATCCTATGCACATGGGGAAAAGATTCTCCAGAACGTGAGCTTGTCTCATTCCTTATTTGAATTGCTTTAGATAGCCAAACTTCCAGGCAGGGATTGATTGGCCTTCTCTAAGACCATTCTTTTTCTTCCTATTCTAAGAGATTTGACACCAGTGAGCATCATAGACCCCCAGGTATATTGGCCACAAGTGCTATCTGTTTAAGAACATCTTCTTCATCAAACTACTTCCTGCAAGGCAAGAATTTTGAACTGAGGAGCATAGAGAATTGCTCAGATTTGAGTAACTTTAAACGCTTGTGGAGGAATGTCAGGAAGATCATATGGTATCAAATTCTATTCAAAGATACCAGCATTTGGGAGTTATGTGAGAAAATCTCTCAATAGAATTTGAGCAACTAGTGTCCAAATTGTCTTTTCTGAGACTAGCATGCTCAGGCCCTATATTTCATTATATGCTGTGCCTGTCTTTTATAACCATTCTCTATTTTGCTTCACCCAAAGCTGGACATTCTGGTAAAATTGGGATGACTAACCCAACCATGTAAAATTCACAATATTGCTTACGTATGGACCAGAACATATTGCTGTGTGTTTCCTCCTTCTTCAGTGCTCACCCTGCTTGATTTTCATCCATGCTCATATATGACTTGCCTAATTGCAGACAAGCAAGCCCATACTCCTTTTGGGCAGTGATTGCAATGTGTTCCTTGGCAATCATTTTCCATATTCTTTATGGGTTTTTTTTAAATTTCAGCTTCAAGTGAAAAACATTTAATTCCTAGTAAACCCAAAGCATCTGCCAAACCAGGAATGCCACAGACCAAACCTGGTAATTGTGTTATTTTTTTTAATTCTGTACAGTGCGATATAAATTTTCTTTTAGCTAAGCCACAGTTGTTCTTCTCTGCACGCTCTTTTCTTTAGTTATTCCTGTGCCACTTCAGTCAGATGCATTGCACTGGGATAAACAATCAACAAAAGCACCTCTTTCCATAAGAAAACTGAAAATAATTTAAAGCTGTCAAAATATGGCCCCATTCAGGAGAGACTGAACTCCATGTCACTATATATATGGTGTTCCAAAGATCATATGATGAACCATCATTGTTTCAATACTAAAAGTCTTTGGTTTAAAAAAAAGTTTAAATGGCTAAATACAGGAAGCCTGTTCTGATTATTTTTCTAGCCACTTACCTTCTTTGTGTCTCAGTTTTTCCATCTGTAAAATTACATTGACTTCCTCTGAGATCCATCAGATAGATGAAAGTTTGATATGAGAGTTAGAAATTGATACTATTAAAATAAAAAACAAATGGATGTTTCATTTGATCTTCTGACCATTGTTGGTAGAGTGTGACTACAAAATAATCTTAGTTAATTTGTTTCTATCAACGATGCAGTTTGTAAAGTGTTTGTTGTGGTATGGGGCTTATGGTAAAACTGTTGTTTGAATGTTTCAGAAGTAATACACATTATTGCCATTGAAGCCTTTTGTTCTAGTCTGTGTAACCTAAGTTCAACATGTATTTTATTTTAGCATCTAAGATTCTTCACATTTTTCCCTAAACAGCAATACATCAAACAACCTTACAACCACTTGTAACAAAACCTTCTACCACCCCTGAACAGTCAAAGGCAACAATGGGTAAAAAGTTTCCTCGGTGAATGTAATAGAGTAGCATTTTTCCCTTTTCAACAAGGAAAACTTTCTAGAAAATATGCCCTAGAAAGTTATTTTGTGTTATCCTTCGTTCTGCTTCTAGTTATGTGCATGCCCTTTGATGTAGAAGACCTGTAGCTGAGTTTTACAAATGGTCTCTCTACAGTTATCAAGCCTGCTTGGAAGTCTGTTGTTTCTAACTCTCGACAAAACTGAGAGGTCTCCATTTTCTCACAGTATCAGAATTTGTAATCACTTTGTTCACTGTATCAGTTCATCCTGCAGCACAACACTCTAATTCTTTTGGCTTTTTTTATCAGTCATCTTACTGCAGCTTCTAAAAGTCCATGGAATTGTTATTGTCTTTATTGCAGGCTTTTGAGGCATGTGCTTTCTATGGGGCTTAACATGGCATTGGACTCATTCTTAAAGAATATAATAATAATCATGCGCCTTTCTTTCAGCTGCAAAAGAAACACGGCTCGTTCCTTCCAAACCCAAAACATCTCTCAGGCCAGAAGGACCACAGACTAAAGCTGGTAATTGCATTATTTCTGAAATTTAGGGTGGTGGCTTGCTATCTTTAAAAATGTTGTGCAATTACCTTAGTTACATATCCTGTCAGGGTTCAGTGTTTCCATGGTATGACACATACAGTACCTTTAATATCATTCTATTCAAGTGAGCATATGATGGTGAATTTTACTAAAAGAAAACAGTGAATTCCTGTGGAGTGATGTATGCCTCCCATTTATCAACAGTTATGTTCAATTTATGACAATATCCACTGATCATTTTTTATCCTTTGAGTAACTTGTATGTCTTTACACATTCCTACAGTATCCATCACAATTTACACATTCCTACAGTATCCATCACTGTACTATCTGAATTTTTACTTGTGGTATGTATTGCATGGAAGGGTACCATGAATAAGTATAACTTCCTTTATCAAGTAACCTGAAAAGCAGGCCCTCTACACATTACAGGTATCGCACAATTAACTGGTGAATTGTGCAATTAGCTTGGGACTAGCTACACTTGTGAAGTACCTATCACTCCATAAAACACTCCAACCAGCTATAAGTGAGACCTTGAAAATATGCACTAACTTTATAGCCGGTTGCTATTGAGCTTTAATTTGCATGTTTAGCAGGGTCTCCCCTGTGGCTGGGAGACCCATCAACTGACAAGTAGGTCTGTATGAAGCTTCAGTCCCTGATTTGATTCAGCCAAGATTCAGCCCGATTTGGTGGCCAAATCTCCAAATCCAGATTGAATCAGGAGACCCTTTTAATCTCTCTGAATTGAATCTGAACCCTCCGAATCGATTTGGAGAGATTCAGAACGATTCAACAATTCAGATACAGACACAGCTTTAAATGTTTTTTCTACATACCTCAAGGTACCAGGCAGCTCGTGAATGCTGTGATGGTGGGGCAGATGAAGCACCCCACAGGAGCATGGGGGGCTCTCCAGTGCACTCGGCAGCAGACCCGGAAGTGAACCACAGGCACTTCCGGGTCCACTGGGGAGCCCCCTTCACCCCTACGCCCGGCTTGGTGACTGGTGCCTCCTGGGTCTGGGGGGGTTCTCAGGATCCCCCCATGACTGATCACTGGGGAGGAGGGGGGGGGGGGGCAGTATGCTCAGCAGCAGGCCTGGAAGGGGACGGGAAATACTTC